AAACAGAATAGAAAACAAGAAGCTCACCAGCACAGAGGACTTGCAAGAAAATCTACATGTGTTTTTCAGGGCTCAGAGTAAAGCCAAAAAAAGTCTGCTGAGAATTCAGAACTTCAAGCCCATTTTTCTTGCAGATCCAGAATTAAGTTATACTGTGTACATGTTTGAGAAACCCAGGGCCAAGACATTAATATGAAAATTAATCTCAGACATGGTATTTCTTGGGTTTCTTATAGAAACTAATAGAAACTACTGTAGAATGCCCACCCTCAATTCCAGAACACTCAGGATTCTCACAAATAATACCACTGAAGATTAGCTCAGAATTCAAAATTACAGAACATGCGACGAGGAAACCATAAGTAAAACAGAAGATTAAAACCCTAAGGATTTGGAATAAAGGAACAATCTTATAAAAACTGAAATAAGTATATCTAAAATCATGTAAAGCCCAGCCAGTGTGGCTCAGTGTCGACCTATCACAGTTTGATTCTCAGTCAGGACATACACCTGGGTTCCAGGCTCCATCCCTAGTGTAGGGCATCCAGTAGGAAGCCAATCAATGATTCTCTCTCATCATTGAGTTTCTATCTCTCTCTTCCTCTCTGAAATCAATAAAAATATATTTTAAAAAATGATTTAAAGAAAAAAAAGAATTAAAACTGTAAGGAAATAAAAAACTGCTATAAACATAAAAGAATAAGCAGATAGATTTTTACAAAAATAAATAGATAATCTGAAAATGAAAATTATATTCATTAATAGTAAAAAATTTGCTTGGCATGCTAAATAGAGGAATAATTTGTTTTTCCTCTAGGTTTTCAGATTTTCAAAACTATATACTTTCTATAGTAAAGAAAAATTAACTTTTGTATAATTTTAAAAATAATTTTAATATCCACAAAGATATAATATCCACTGATATAATTACAAAGCAGTAGGTCTAGCTGAGATGTCATTTATTATAGTTGTGTAACCTTGAGGAAGGCAAGTGGAGCCATAAGTTTCTTTGAAAGATTAAACTAGATATTTTTTAACTTTTTATTTTAAAGTAATTTTGGATTTACTGAAAAGTTGCAAAAATAATATAAAGAGCTCTTGAATACCCTTTATCCAGTGTTCCCCAATGTCAGCATTTTACATTACCATAGAATAATGATCAAAGCCAGGAAATTAGTATTGATAGAATACTATTAATTAGTTCACAGACCTTATTCAACTTTGCCTTACTTTCCCCCACCGATGTTAAGCTAGATGATGTTTAAGAGCTTTCTAGCTCTAAAAGTCTTTGATATGCTTGATGTATTACATTCTCTACCTTATCTTGATTATTAAAAACCAAAGATTAAATTTTCTAGTGACAGCCCACTATTCCAATATTCTGTTTAAGTATGAAACAGAAAATTGCTGAATTAAATTATTTTAAGCCATTTCAACTTGAAAAATACCATGTAGGCTTGACTGTGACCCTTTCCTACTATAACTCTCTTGATTAACTTCTTCCTATGAACATAATCCTCTTTCTGTGTCCAGAGCTCTGTGTTAGTAATAAGCAAATCACATTACCCTTGGGAACCATTCAAGAGTAAAAAACGTGGTGGGAACTAGAAGCCCACCCAACTTAAATCTACTTACACCATCTATCCCAGGGGTGTGAGGTGTGGAGCTTTCCCTCTTTGCCACCCCAGCTACTATATACTCACTCAACACTTTAGAATCTTCTAGTTGGAGTTTAGTCTTTTTGTGAAGACCTAATCATGGAACGGAACAAAATGTAAATTGCTGGTATAGTCTGTGCATAAAGGACCTACCTTCAACCCCTGGCAGACTCCTCACTGTCTTCAAGTATACATTTAGATAAGTGGATTACTACTTGTACCTTTAGCTACTTCACAGGTTAGAAAGTCAATTTAATGAGATGATTTTAATGAATTATCTTCAGTATCATTTGAAGAAGAACCTGACTTAATCCAGTACACTACCAACTCTAAATTATTTAGCATAGTGTAAGAAAACTCTGCTATAAATGATCTCAATCCCAAATGAATTCATGGTGATTTCAATGAGATCCCAATTCTTAATGCCTATTAAATTTTTCCTTCAGAATTCTTGGTTAAAATATAGATGTCAGTATAAAGGAAATCTGAAGTAGAGATTATTTTCTTATTTTTTTAAACCTGCATTTTCATATATTTAAAGGGTCATCTTCTGATATTTGTCATCTATACTAATAAAAGGGTAATATGCTAATTAGACCAGATAGACCAGACATCTTCTGGATGTCATTCCAGAAGTCCTTCCTGACAAAGCCGGGGCCCAGGCGAAGTCACCTGGGGTCCCTGGTGCCTGTGGCCGGCCGGAGGAGGGAAGCCCAGGTCCCAGGTGCCGGAGGAAAGCCGATACTGGCAGCCGGGGGAAGGAAGGCCTACTCTTGCATGAATTCTCGTGCATTGGGCCTCTAGTATTACAATAAAAGTGGAGGTGAGGTACTACACAAAAGCCCTCACCTCCCTGGGGTGAACCCTACAAAACACTGGTATTTCTTCCTGTCTACTCATGGACTTGTCACAAAGGCACCTTTTATTCAACATACTCAGTGCTGAACTCTTCATCTTCCCTCCAACCTGCTCATCCCCGTCAGTGGCATCACTTGCCTACCCATTGCTTCACCTCGTAGGTGATTCTCCAATTCCTCCCTCTCATCCTTCACAGCCACATTTGTCAGGTCTGTTACTTTCACTTCCTCAGTGGCTCTTGTGTCTGTTTATTTCTTTCCACTCTTACCTCTGTTGCCTTAGTTCAGGTCCCCATCTCTCATCTGGATTTTACAGTAGCTTCATAATTGGTCATACTGTCCATATAAATGTTAGCTACTATTGTTATCATTTTTTATAGAATCAAATCCAGTCTTTTTAACATTGGACTGGATTTCAGGCCTCATTGGCTCTTTGTATTCTGATCATGTACCTTCCATGTTCTAAATCATTCACCTACTGAAAATCTCACAGGGACTCCTAATTGCTTATGCAGGGGGGCTGATCTTCAGGGGAAGGAAGAATATTTTGCTAATTGTTGAATTCCCCAACCTTAAGGGCCTACCACAGCAGCCAGCACCTAACAGGTATCCATTGACTATTTACTAGGTTGAAATTAATGGAGTTAGCCAATATCCTAGGATGCCTGTTAATTTTCATAGTATGACAACGATTTCCTATATCTTAAAAATAGGTGTATTTCATTGTTAGGAAAAGTCTGCTTAGCTTTTACATTATAAAACAGAATAGCTAGGAACTTGGCATTTAAATATTTTCTATCCTCACTCTCCACATTTTCATTGTGGAAATCTTTTAAAATAGTTTGCAGCTGTACTCACATTCATAAACAGTCCACATCCTGGAAGAGCATGTTTATTAGTAGCATCTTATGAACAGAAGCTGAACCAGGGAGAGACATGTAATGGAATTTGTGACTTAGGTACAAATGAGAAATAATACAAAAAAAGAAACTAGAGTGAGTTGATTCTGCACACGATTATGTAAAGAAGAGTACTGCTATTTTTTTCTTTAGTATTTCATCATCATCCAGGATATTACATTGATTTTTAACTTGAATTTAGTGCAGATAAATATTAGAATGGGTATTTCCTTTGAGAAAAAAAATAATTTCTAGGGTGATCAAAGTATGTTATCAATTGCCCAGTATGTTTAGTGTACTAAGATCTGGGTATCCTCCTACTTAACATTGTTAAACATGCACAGTTTCTCTCTCTCTCTCTCTCTCTCTCTCTCTCTCTCTCTCTCACACACACACACAACACACACACACACACACACACGCTTAGAGGATTAGAGAGGCTTCTTTCATATTTATTGTTAGGTGCATTTTCGTGAGAACACAGTTTCTATTTTCAGCAGTATATCCATTCTTCTGTTTGGTCTTCACTTGAAGGCATATTCTCCTTGTGAAATTTTAATTGTTTCTGTAACACCTCTGTATTTGCAGTCTCACTTTTAAAAGCTAGTAGCTTCAGGTGAAGAATAAGCAATAGAAACAGATTGGCTGTTGGTAGTGGTGTTATTTAGATTTCCTTGCTTCAATTCTAATGAAGTTTAGAGAATGAAGGAGGAGAATGTTTATCAGGGTAAATATTGGCCTGTGAACACAAAATAATCATGATTGTTAACAGAGTTTCATGACCAAGAATATGAGATTAGGATTCAAATCCCAGCTGCTCCACTTATCATTTGTATGACCTTGAACAAGTTATTGAACTGCTTTGAGCCTAAAGAACTTTGTCTTTAAAATGGAGATCACAATAGCATCTTCAGAAAGAGTAAAAACATAATGAGAAGGATGACCGACATTTTTAAAGCACCTAAGAGGTATGGATCATTATTCTTGTTTCACCAATGATGAGCAGAACTTATAGAGCATAAGTCAGCTCACACAGTTGGATGTGATGGAGCTGGGTTTGAACCACCACATAAAGTGCTTCATGCAGTGCCTGCCATATGCATTCCCGTATTAGCTGTTATTATGTTCATTATACAGAATTCTCCCAATGATAACTTTTTCTGAATTTTTTTTTCTGATTTCCCATTGTGTTTACACCAAAAACTTTCTGGTTGGAAAGCATTTTCTGTTCATAGGAAGTTGTGGGTAGAAATGAATGCAATTTCCCAGTATTTAAAGATTTGTTTGCAGTGTTCATGGCTGTTTGGGTCTCCTTATGTAATTTTAATAGATACAAGGTAGTACTTTCATATATGAATTAACCTTAAATACTTTTAGTTCTTTTAGCTAACATACTGGGAATTCTATATCTGAAGATGGGTTCAATGATATCTATTGGATTCTGCATTAATGTTCTTCCTTTTACCTTATACAAGAATACAGAATTATATCATTTCTTTTCTGGAGGGGGGAAGTGGTAGAAAGGAGATGAGAGCTCTGACTTTTACTTTTCTCAGGAATCCTCACTAACTCTGTGGCTTTTGTAGGGGAGGTGGTCCTTCTGGTTAATATGCCTGCAGACAGCCCCGCTGAAGAAGGCCAGCACCTGCCTGATGGGAGGACAGCAACCCCCACCAGCACCTTCAGCCAGCAAGACATCAATGAAGGCATCGTGTGGTACAGGCACTCAGGAGTCCCAGCCCAGAGTGACTCCTTCCGCTTTCAGGTACCCTTTGCTTCCTGACTTTTCTGATGTCTGAATGGTCTGATGAAAACCATCACCGTTATTTATAGGCAACTTGGGAAATTTTCTGTGATTGCCTAGAAATCATATTTGGGGGAAGAGGAAATGTAACTAATAGTATTGAGAGATATTTTTAATCTGCTAATTCAATCTTATAAATATCTCTACAAGCAGAGTCATTTTACAGCAAGGAGATTTATAATAGATAATGGCTAGAGTGTTTAGGAAAATAATGTTTCCAGAATATTAAAATACTTATTTTAATATAGTCTTATTTTCTTTTTTTCAAATGTTTTTGGAACATTTACCATCTTCTGATAAGATCATAGACTTGATAGCCAAACCCAGTGGGTTCATATTTCAGTTCTGCCACGTATTAACTAATTTTGGGGGCAATTACTTGGAAAAATACTTGTCCTTCAGATTCCTCACCTGTAGAATAGAATTATTGTAAGGATTTAATGAGTTAATACATAGAAAGCATTTAGAATACTGCCTATCACTAGGTAAGGATTGTTACTACCACCTATAAAGATTGGTCAGATACCAGTACTGTCAACTGAATGTTTGTGTTCTGAAATAATTAATATCTTCATATCCGCCCCTCCCCATGTGGTAGGTGATTAGCATTAGATGAGTGGGATTAGTACACTTACAAGAGTCACTGGAGAGCTGCTCCCCTCTCTACTCCCCACCATTGGGCTACAGTGAAAAGATAGCAGTCTACAACCCCAAACCCAATCCTGCTGGCACCCTGACCTCAGACTTCCAGCCTCCAGAAGTAGGAGAAATACATTTCTGTTGTTTATGAGCCACCCAGTCTGTGGCATTTTTGTTATAATAGTCTAAGCCAGCTAAAACAACCAGATCATAAGAAGACTGTCAATAAATGAAAGAACAAGAAATGGTACTGGGGATATTCTCTGGTTATTATGAAATACTAGAGGCCCAGTGCACGAAATTCGTGCACTTGGGAGGGGGGATCCCTCAGCCCAGCCTGCGCCCTCTCACTGTCTGGGAACCCTTGGGGGATGTCCAACTGACGGAGCCATCAGTTGGACTTCCTTAGTGCTGCTGTGGAGGCAGGAGAGGCTTCTGCCACTGCCCTTGTGCTTGCCAGCTGTGAGCCTGGCTTCTGGCTGAGTGGTGCTCCCCCTGTGGGAGTGCACTGACCACCAAAGGGCAACTCCTGCATGGAACGTCTGCCCCCTGGTGGTCAGTGCGTGTCATAGCAACCGGTTGTTCTGCCTTTTGATCAATTTGCATATTAGCCTTTTATATAGGATAATTAGAAATCCATTTTAAAAAGGTAAAAAAGTTCAAACCATTTGGAATTTTTAAAATAGTCTCTCAAATAATTATACTTCTTAAAGGAAATCAAAATAGCAAACTATTAAGAAATAATGATGAAGAGGAAATAAATTATCAGTACTTCAATGATCTGGATAAAATAACACTCAAGTAAATTGATGGTCTTAAGCTCTTATTATTGAGCAGAAGATCATGAAAATAAATCAACTAAATATTTAGCTCAAGAAGCTAGAGAACTACAAAGGAAACCTAAGGAAAGGAAAAAAGGAAAGAAATTAATAGAGATAAGCACACAACTAATTATAAAATGCTAGAATTGATAAATGAGTACAAAACCTCATTCTTTGGAAAGACCAATAAATTAGACAAACCTCTGTCATGGACAAATTGGAAATAAAGAACTGAACAGAAGTACAAAGGAATAAGGGAGTATGAACGAGAAAGAGCATTTAAACATAGATGCAGAAGAGAATTTGGGAAAATGTAGAGGAAATATAGAGATGCATTCATGATTATCAGCCAAAGCCCCTCTGAGTCTGAGACTTCTTTTGTCTCGAATCCAGCTGGAGGTAAACTACCCCAATAGCTCACCTTGTTAAAATTATCATACATTCTGCCTCCGAGGCCTGGGGTGCACATCCTCATTGCTTGACTCATTTATATGATATAAAAGATGTGCTTTTCCAGAGAGCAAGTTGAAATAAACTTGGGAACCATTAAAAGGAGATTTTACTAGCACATTAATGTCCAATGAGTGAGAGCAAACATTTGCCCTTTACTAGAATTAACTTTTCATTTTTAGCACCTGGGGACTCAGCAGCTCTCAAAGAATGAGTCAGAATGGAGGCAAAGACCTCAATCAAAGAAGTCACCTCAGCAAACTAGAATCCTCAGCTCTGCCTTTGCTGTCCTAGGCCTGAGGAAGAACATTATCAACATGGAGCATTTCCCCAGAAAGGGATTCTCAGCACCTGCTCATAATGATATTTGATTGCTTTTGCAAGTTGGTTACTAAGTGGGTAATTATAAAATAGCTAAATTTACTGATTTTTTTTTAAACAAACTCACTTGAGTTTAAGACATTCTGTTGAACATCATTACTTAGTAAGTGGTTCCCTTTGAAGAGTCTTCACACATTTTGCTCAAAATGTGTTTAGAACTCCTATTGGAAATCTCCTTCCAAACCCATGGGATATTCTGAAGAATATCCTCAATAGTGACGGTATGGCATCCTTTGGAAGTAGATTTTAAAATGTAACCATATAGCCAGTCATTCAGAATCATGTCTGGTATGAAGAAGAGAGTAGTAATTACTTTGGGTCGAAACAGGGAGTAATTATGAAGTAACAAGTTCAAAGTGATTTTTGAACTCTCTTGGAAGGCATTTCAAAAGTGCATTTTGAACACTCACAGCGTCTTTATTGCACGTATGAAACAGCTCTCTGAGATCCTGTTCTCCTGGATGTAAAAGGTTTGGTGTGCTTATTTTTAAAGTCTCATTGTTTTATGGACTTACCTCATATTCTGATTTGAAATGACGCAGACACTTTAACTATGTGCCAAAATAAACAGCAACTTTTCCCATTCATTTTAATGTCCCTCAAGGATTTTAAACTAAAAGAAGATGCTGTTTTCATGATTCTTCTTTTTCTTCCCTTTTTCCTTTCAAGCAAAACTTGCAATACAATGAGTTGCATCAATTTCATTTCATTTTAATGTTTATGTGCTGTCATGAGCCATCAATGCATTCCATCTGTTACTTTGCCTGTAAGACGTGGGATTTATGTAATGCTTGTGGCTTTTCAAAATAAAGCATGGCAGAGGGAGAAGAAAGCACGCACACTTATGTCACTTTTGGCCTGGGCAGGGGCCCTGGTCTTGATATATTCAGATCATGTTGACATAGCCTCAGGGGATGTGGTTTTAAAAAGACCAACATGGTTCACACCAGTATCTTGACTAAGGAATCAAGAACAGATTCCCTTGCTTGGCAATATGCTCACATTTTATTACCTGCATAGCGTTCTTCAAGAGATGGGAGAACATGTTTTCCTAAAGCTTTGAGACTGAGTCATCTTGGTTGGTAGGAAGACCATGGTCCTCTAACCTGTTAAATACCAACCCTTTTGTTTTTGTGTGATTTTTGACATTTTGCTTGACTTTTTTGAGCATCAGTTTCCTCCTCTGTAGAAAAGGAGATAATATCCACTCTGTGGGTATTATATATAGTGACTTTTAAGAAGTAGCTAGCCCATGATAGACATTTAGTGAATTATAGCTGTTGTTACTCATATTATATATAGTGATACTGTAAGATGGCGCCTTGACAACCTGTAGATATTCTGAATTTAAGCTCCAGGCATTGGATGTGATTAAGATACAGGGAGGACAGTTTTTAAAATTTCTTTTAAAAAAAATAGTTTATTGATTTTTTTATAGAGAGAAGAAGGCAGAGGGAGAGAGAGAAACATCGATATGAGAGTGGACATCAATTGGCTGCCTCCAGCACGCTCCCTACCAGGAATGAAGCCCACAACCCAGGCATGTGCCCTGACAGGGGATTGAACCTTCAAACTCCTGGTGCATGGGACAACACCCAACCAACTAAGCCACATTGGCCAGGGCAGAGAAGACAGTTTTGTTGTTGTTGGCCTAACTGTAGAAGACATAAGAAAGGGCTGCTATTTCTGCCTTTTTCTTAGAATTTATGGCACCCTGCTCCCTCTCATATGAAATTAATGCAACTACACGTGGCCACACAGGCCTTAGCAATTCTTGTAACAAGCCTCAGCTGGAGCAGACCACAGAGAAGAGAGTGTGAGGGAGCAGCTCAGTAGCCCTGAAGGAGGGGAGAAGCTGCAGTAGGAAAATCATCACTGTTTTCAGCATTTTTGAAGCAAGAAAAATTTGATTTTGCGATCACTAATTATTATGACTCTTGCCTTGCAGTGATTAGGCTATGATGTGTCATTTATAACCTGATGTGTCTGTGCTTGGGTACAACTTTTAAAAATGGAATAAAAATCACATATCTAACATGTGTTGTGTGTGCTCACAGTGAAGCATTATGCAGCTATCAAAAATTGTGTTTTGAAGAATGTTTAATGTATTATGTTCAGTAAAAATGTACAGGACGAAAATGAATATAGAGTTTGACATATGCATAGGAAAAAGATTAAACTAAAATGCATCAATGTGTCAATAACCATTATTTGTAGGTATTGTACTTCTAGATGATTTATTTATGTCATATTTATACTTTCCTGCATTTTCAGGATTGCCTAAAAGGATTATGCTACCTTTGTAATGCAGGAGCAGATGGAATTCAAAGACAGATGATTTAAAGGTGGGGCAGGGGGATAAACACGTGCAACATGCTCTGCCCGACCGAGGCTCACCAGTAGGACGTTTCTTTCCAGGTTTCCAGTGCCACCGATGCCCACACCCACCTGGAGAGCCGCATGTTCAACATCGCGATCTTACCGCAGACGCCTGAAGCGCCTCAGCTCTCTCTGGGAGCGTCTCTCCATATGACTGTGAGTTGGGTGGGAGGGCTCGCGGTTTCTGAGGCACGCTGACGGGATCTGACAGAATGACCTGTTTTTTGTATCTGGTGAATGCCTGGCCCAGAACCCAGACCATACCACCCTGTAAACACATTTCTCCTTGACTTGAAAAAGAAACTTCAATTCCCAGAGTGACAGGAAACATAGATGGAATTCACTTCAAACTCTTATCCATTGCTGGTGTCCTCTTTTCAGCATGACAGACAGACAGTCACAGGACTCCTCCTTGAGTAGTTAGAAGGGATTTCAGGCCTATATCTGTTTAATCAGTACCTTTTGGGTATAATTACTCAGCTAGTTATAGCTCCATATAGCTGGAGAAACTGACATTCCATCTTAGAGCCCCAGTAGAAGTTTCCTTTCTGTTATCAACGTTTCCCAAAGAAGCGGATATCTATGCTGAGTCCAGAGAGATAAGTAGCAATTATCCAAGTGAAAGTTTTGGGGGCAGGTGATGGCAAAGGGCACTAAAAGACATAAAACATAAAAACAGCACATGCAAAGACCCAGAGGCCAGCGAGAATATGATCGTTGGGGGAAATTGTAAATAGTTTGATAAGACTGGAGAAATGAGGACAGCAGAGGAGAAATGGTGAGGATGGGGAGGCCGTGAGCTCCATCGCAAGGGGACCTGCCTGCTGTGTGGGAAGAGCATGGGCTCATGGAAAGGTGTGAAGTGAGGTGACAGCTATATTAGTTCAGACAATTAGCAGCCCCACTGCAACCCTGTATCTAGGGGCAGGGGCGATGCCAGGACCCCTCTTTAAGTCAGAGCCACAGCATCTAAGCCTGCAAATGAATCATTATGGACCTGCATTTTAGTTAGCACCCACATAATTACACTCCAAAGTGTATCAGCCTTGAGCCATGACAAAGAAATCACCTGTAGTTTTAGAAATTATGGGTCTGGGGCACGACAGAGACATAAAAGGGGAAATAGGAGGTTTTTAATGAATAGCTGATATCGACATTTCCACTGTAAACCATAATTTAAAGAAATCATAATTCAGTAGCACTATAAAGTCTATAATTCATCATTCTGACTGGAGGAACTTGGATCAGAATTTCCTTTAAAATGTGAAGAAAAGTGTGCATGCATGTTTTTTGCCAAATGCTAATGCACTGTTATTTTGACTTTAGAGGGGAAAAAATGGGCCAGGAGCCACGAAGATGGCGCCGTTCCCACTCCATTGCTATGGACCCCTAGACTTTTCAAGCTCCTTGACCTTTAGGGTCTTAGATTGCTAGTTTTCAAACTAGATCTGTCCAATTTAGGGTGTCACAAAGGTTAGTTTACCATAAAATGCAATTAGCTTAATCTTCAGTGCCATAAAATATACATAGTTTGTATTTCTTTTATTTTTTTAATTTTTAAAATATATTTGTTTATTGATTTCAGAGAGGAAGGGAGAGGGAGAGATAGAAACACCAGTGATGACAGAGAATCATTGAATCTTGCATGCCCCTCCTGGGGATCAAGCCCGCAACCTAGGCATGTGCCTGACTGGGAATTGAACCATGACCTCCTGGTTCATAGTTGACACTTAACCACTGAGCCACACAGACTGGTCTTCAGTCATACATTTTTGAGCCCCTAATTTGTGCCAAGTGCTAGAGAAGACATTGGTGGTTTGATGACCATAAAATACAGTCTCTATTCTTAAGGAACTTAGAGTCTAAAATGGGAGAGGAGCGAATTAACAAACACTGACAATATAATGATACATGCCATGACAGGGACATGATATGGAAGCAAATAAGAGACACCTGACCCAGTGCAGGGGCAAGGGGGTGGCAAGGTCATGGAAGGCTTCCTGGACAGGGACATGATATGGAAGCAAATAAGAGACACCTGCCCCAGTAGGGGGGGAAGGTGGCAAGGTCATGGAAGGCTTCCTCGAGAGATAGAAACACCAGTGATGACAGAGAATCATTGAATCTTGCATGCCCCTCCTGGGGATCAAGCCCGCAACCTAGGCATGTGCCTGACTGGGAATTGAACCATGACCTCCTGGTTCATAGTTGACACTTAACCACTGAGCCACACAGACTGGTCTTCAGTCATACATTTTTGAGCCCCTAATTTGTGCCAAGTGCTAGAGAAGACATTGGTGGTTTGATGACCATAAAATACAGTCTCTATTCTTAAGGAACTTAGAGTCTAAAATGGGAGAGGAGCGAATTAACAAACACTGACAATATAATGATACATCATGGAGGACCTTAAGATAAAATGAAGGGATTTCCACTGTGTCCTGAAAGGCTCTTGGGACAAATACTATGTAGCAGACAGGCAACCTGATCAGATTTTCAATTTAGGAAGGCCATTCTGGCTGCAGGGTAGAGAATACTCTAGATGGGGACTAGATAGGGAGCACGGAAATGCATCACAGCAGTCATCTAGAACAAGAAAGGTTAGTGGCATGATACCATGCAGTGGCAATGAAGATTAAAAGTTAGTGAGATCTTGAAGAGATACTTGTTCACCCATGCTCATTGCCGCATTATTCACACTGGCTAAGAGGTGGAAGCAGCCTAAATGTCCTTTGGCAGATAGATGGGTAGAAAAAATGTGGTATACACAACAATGGAGTATTATTCAACCTTCAAAAAGGAAATCTGGTCATATGCTACAATATGATTGAACCTTAAGGACATTGTACTAAGTGAAATAATCCAGTCACAAAAAGACAGAGTCTGATGATTCTACTTATATGGGCTATCTAAAATAATCGGACTCTTAGAAACAGAAAGGAGAATGGTGGTTGTCCCTGTGAGGGTAGGGGTGGAGGTGGGGAGAGGAAAAAGGGGAGTTTTGTTCAATCCATACAGAGTTTCAGTTTTGCAAGTGGAAAAACTTTCTAGAAATCAGTTGCATAACAATATAGTTAACAGTACTGTATTATACACTTAAAAGTATTTAAGGTCAGGGGGGACATTAGAGAAAGATTAAGAGATATTTACAGATATCCTGGTCAATTAGATGTGACAGGAAGGTGAAAAGCCCCAATTTCTGAGTATATTAAGAGGCAATCACCTCATACCTCTTAGAATGGCTACAATCAACAAATCAACAAAATGATAAGTGCTGGTGAGGAAGTGGAGAAAAGGGAACCCTAGTACACTGCTGGTGGGAATGCAGACTGGTGCAGCCATTATGGAAAACAGTGTGGAGTTTCCTAAAAAATTACATATGGAATTGCCATTTGATCCAGTGGTCCCACTTTTAGGAATATATCCTAAGAAACCCCAAACTCCAATCAGAAAGAATGTATGTACCTCCATGTTTATAGCATCTGGAAGCAGTCCAAGTGCCCTTCAGTAGATGAGTGAACAAAAAAGTTGTGGTACCTTTTCACCATGGAATACTATGTAGCAGTAAAAAAGAAGGCTCTCTTACCCTTTGAGGCAGCAATGAGGGACCTAGAGAATATTATGCTGAACAAAATAAGCCGGTCAGAGAAAGACAAATATTACAAGATCTCACTCATATATGGAATCTAATGAACAAAATAAACTGTTGAACAAAATAGATTGAGAGACATAGAAACATGGGACATACTGTGGAATCCCAGAGGTTAAAAAAAAAATCAAGTTATCATCCACAAAAGCATTTTAAAGAATCTGTAAATTATATATTTTCACATAATAAACTTTTTTTTTCAAAAAATTATGCAAGATAGAAATTCATCAAGATAGAAATTTATGAGGACTTTAGGGGGAAGGGTGGAAATCATGATGAGTTCCGTTTGGGGTGCGTCTATTAAGGGTGGTTAGGAGATCAGTAGATATTCTGGGTGAGAAATAAACTATTAAGAATCACTATTAGTTCGTAGTGGTTAACTACGAACATAACTGGTACATAACTAAGAAAGATTGAGTAGAGTGAAAAGCAACATAATCAAATACCTATCTAAATTGAAATTGGTTCTGTGGCCTTTCTGTAATTATGTTATTCATCGAATCTAAGATCCTCTAAATGGGATCTTATGGTTTAATTTGCAGTGTTCATCAGAATTATATGTAACCCACATACATAAGATATGTATATACATATGTATAATATTATAAGATACAGAGCTATATAAGTATATATGATACATATACATTTAGGATACATAGTATATATGGGCAAGGAGATCCAAAAACATGCATGTTATCATCCACAAAAGCATTTTAAAGAATCTGTAAATTATATATTTTCACATAATAAACTTTTTTTTTCAAAAAATTATGCCATTCATCAAGATAGAAATGTATGAGAACTTTAGGGGGAAGGGTGGAAATCATGAGTTCTGTTTGGGGTGCGTCTATTAAGGGTGGTTAGGAGATCAGTAGATATTCTGGGTGAGAGATAAACTATTAAGAATCACTAATGGTTTGTAGTGGTTAACTACGAACATAACTGGAACATAACTAAGAAAGATTGAGTAGAGTGAATTATATGTAACACACATATATAAGATATGTATATACATATGTATAATATTATAAGATACAGAGCTATGTAAGTATATATGATACATATACATTTAGGATACATAGTATATATGGGCAAGGAGATCCAAAAACATGCATATTTATCAATAAATATCATAGCCTAGATAGTATAAGATTATGCAAATGAGTTAATAGGTTCACATCAACTCAAAGTTTTCCAAGTACTCATCCCTATTTGACTTGGAAAATCCTTAAGGGCAAAACCTTTGATTAATTAATCTTGGTATCTTCCTCAGCATCTCACACAATGCCATATACAAAGTAATTGCTTAGTAAATATTTGCTGATTAAATGAATATTGTCAGACCTATTTTCTCATAATTAATAACTCCCTAAACTGTATCCCCTTCAAATTCAAATAAATTAATCATATAGGCATACACACACACAATTTGAATGTCATATTTCCCATTCCTTTCTTAAAGGGAAAATAAACTCTATTATCTCTTAATGTGAAAGACATATTTATTATTTCCTTTTTCAAATGGTTGCAATACTCAGGGTTGGGTTGGCCAAAGTCACCACTTGTGGGAAAGGCCTTGAATAAGCTTTTCTTTCCCGGTTTCCTTTGTTTTCAGAGTGATTGCTGTAGCAGAGTTCTCTTAAGACCACTCTATTGGGCCCAGCAGGGATCCAGTTAGATGATCTCTTTTGTGATGCAGACTCAAGTCTGGGCTTGCTCTATTTATTGTGTGGCAGCCAGCTTCTGTGTCCATGTTTATACTTGAGACCTGTCAAAAACTAATAGGATTATTATCTGCAATCTCTGGAAACGTTTGTTTACCCTTGGAATTCTTGCTGTGCTTTATCTGAGCCTTTCACACCACTCAGAATTTCCTACCTTAGATTTATTTATGATTTTCCCCTCCAAAAAACTAGAATTCCTTGAAAAAAGGGTCTATATATGATTTATCGTGTATGTCCCACAGCTCTTTGCTTGGTACCTTGCACATAGTAGGTTCTTAATAATTTGCTACGTGAATATATGAATGAATTAATTTGCTGTCCTAACTAATAAACTATGGGAGAAGATAATTTCTTGTAGGACCTCCATTTTATCTATCTCATCTCATTATTCATGGGTGCCTGATTTCTCAGGCCCACTGTGGGCTTTGGTCTTTAATAGAATGGCAGTCAACATGTGAAATTGATCTTTTTAAATAGAGGGTGAAATGATAATGTTTGTAAATCCTGACCTAGAAGTTTAAGTTATGCACACTTTGCTAAGGCTTAAGTGTTAAAATGTTTGTGTCCCCATCCCCCATCCAATTCTTCAGATGACATTGAAATGCAATGGAAAGTATTATAAAAAAGTTACTGATTATGTTATTATACAAAGTATTTTATTGTTTTATTTCTTAGCTTAATCTTTTTATGATGATATGTGTAGGGAGCGGCTCTAGAGTTAAACCTCGGATTGACCTGTGGCAGAGCCACAAACAAGTCCCAGCTTAGAGAGCAGAACCCTCTTAGCATAATTAAGTCTGACCTTATGGCCACCCCCTAGATCCTTCTTGGGTAGCTAATGGGCTGTGGGAGGTGCAGCAAGTGCTGCCAAAACAAGTGACACTCACAAGAACATTGTAACTATGTTTACCACTACCTTGTTTTTCTCTGGCTATAAAATAAAGCCTCAGCTTGCTGGCTGGATCCTTCTCTGTGGCCTCATCCAGGCACAGGAGATCCACCAGCCCCAGCTGTATTCTCTTTGTCTGTCTTTTCTTTAATCCTTCACCGCCCCTATTCAGGCTCACCAAACCCTTGGCTGTGCTGGCACGGCACAGATATGTTTCATTCACTCAACACATTTTTATCAAGTAATATGTGCCATATGCTAGGTGGTTGGGATCCACCCACCCATAAATGAACACAATCCTTGTTCTTATGGAGTTTACATTCTCTTAGGTATAAGTAATAAAATAAACAACTCACTTATAGCATGTTAGTGAGAAGTGTTATGGTAAAACAAAATGTAGGTCAGAGACAAGGGTGTTAGAAATGCAGTGGTGGGAGCAGAGGAGACCTATGTTGTAATTTTAAATAAGGTGGTTGGCATGGCTCAGTGGTTGAGTGTCAACCTATGAACCAGGAGGTCACGGTTCAATTCCCTGTCAGGGCATATGTCCCAGTTGTAGGCTCGATCCCCAGTGTGGGGCCTGCAGGAGGCAGCCGATCAATGATTCTCTCTCATCATTGATGTTTCTGTCTCTCTCTCCCTCTTCCTTCTCTGAAATCAATAAAAAATGTTTAAAAAAATAAATAAATGAATAATGTGGTCAGGGTGGACTTTATTAAGATAATGACATTTAAAGAAAGACTTGTAGGAAGTGAGGAAGATGGCCACGGCCACGCACATATTCAAAAAAGAGCATTCCAGGCCCAGGGAACCATGCGTTTACAGGCATCCAGTTGAGAGCTTGCTTAGATGTTCAAGGAACAGTAAGGAAGCCAGTAGGGCTGGAGCAGAGTGAGTGAAAGCAAGTGTAATTGACATGAATTCACAGATTTGCTAAGTGTGTGGGGGAGCGAAGGGGACAGATCATGTCTGGCCTTGCCATTATAGCAGTGATGGCAAACCTATGACACGCTGAACTCATTTTTTTGGTTGATTTTTCTTTGTTAAATGGCATTTAAATAAATATCAAAAATATAAGTCTTTGTTTTACTATGGTTGCAAATATCAGAAAATTTCTATATGTGACACGGCACCAGAGTTAAGTTAGGGTTTTTCAAAATGCTGACACGCCAAGCTCAAAAGGTTCGCCATCACTGCATTATAGGGATTTCGCTTCTATTCTGAGTAAAATGGTGAGCCAATCAGGGTGTTGAGCAGAGGGCTACTGTCCTTGTTAAAGGGATCATGCTGGCTGCTGTGCTGAAATAACCTGGGGGCTGTGGGATGGGGCAGGAGAGCAGCTGGGAGGTCATCCTGGTAACCCAGCAAGGTGGTGGCAATGGCCGTGGGGAGAAGTGGTTGGATTCTGGATATATGCAGAAGCAATATGAGTATTATAAACTCATTATTCTGTAAGATTCTCTTGTTGACAGATATTTTAATAAAAAGTGTCTTCTGTAATGATTTCTATGAAATTTAATTTCTCATTTCTTACTATGGTTAATTGATGAGTATTAAACATTCCAAATAGGCAATATTAAAATTGATGATACTTTGATACATCTCAACCTTAATATTGCTTTCTTTGGAGAATTAAGTCCTTTTTCTACCTAGTGTATATTTCTATTAGTAGAGAAATAGTATCCATAAATTTCATGGATATGAAATATCGGTTGCCTTGGCTGCTACATATTTCTCTTTTCCATAGTCCTATGTCCATGCTAATTCTCTCTTCTTATCACTTTATTGTTTTAGGAACATCTAGATTTTAAAAAATATCTCATAATACTCAGGATTTGCAGTCATTCTGATGGTTTTGAGATTACGAAGGAGGCAAACAGACCAAACAATATATTGAGCCTGCACCTTTTTGTCCATGTATCTGTGCACACACACGTCCACATTTATAGCTGTGTGCACACATTCATGGGCTGTAAACACCTTCGATAGGGCATATGTTTTTAATTTGTTGCCCTTACTTGTTTTATTTTAGGGTGAGACACCAGGTACTATTTTGCAATCCTGATTTTCCTTGCTCTGTACATTCCAGAGCCGAGCAATGGCCTGAAATATGACTCTTTACGACAGGAGGATTGTCCTAACCTGCTACTGCTGCCTCTCCCCAGGACAAGTATGCCTTGGGGACAATTAAAAGAGCAACTGTAACCTTCAATCTTTTTGTGGTTACAAGGAAGAACACCACGCCCTCCTCCGTGAGAATTACTGAGCCCTACTTTCCTAAAGAGGGAAACTTCTTCTGAAAGAAGGAAAGCTTCAAAGAGCAGGAGAGGCTGTCAAACTCTAACCCTTCGGGGGTTAGGAAGAGCCTGCAAAGAGCCTGATATTTCCGTTCTGATTTATTGACAGCTTGTGTGACCCAGTCAAAGGGCCCATGCTCACCTTACTTTCCCCTCTCTTCCCTCCACTGTGTTTTTGCTGCTGTCCCCAACTCACTGTTATGCCGGGTCAAGGGATTCTGAGTCTTTCCCCCGCCCCCTTTTTTGAGTGTTGTCACTGTTAGTCGGTGATGGATGTTCACAGGTGAATGGATAGTAAAAGCTACGTACACATTGGCCTTCTGATTAATTTTGCTTGAGTCTTCATTGGGTTCTGAAAACTAGAAGAGAAAATCAATATCTAGTTCATTTGGGTAGTAGCATGGAGACAAAGAAATATTGACTATTTCATGATTTACTTTAATAAACAAATAATTCTTAAATCTCTGAATTCAAATGATGAGCCTCTGTTGGTTTTTGAGTTCGTCTTTAGTCCTTGAATCCATCACAGTTTCAAAAAACACACAAACCAAAGCAGAAAGAATCAAAGTTCCTGTCAGCAAGGCTGGGGAGGCGGGAGGGCGGGTAAGAAGGAACTTTTTACCAGATGAACCATAGCTCGTTAAGTTGGAGGAGCAAAGATGTAGCAATCCAGCTGTGAATATTAGAATATCCAGCTGTGGTGGCTCATTTTCAAACCTGCAGCACTGGGAGCTCCACCTAGGGAAAGTGATCATATTAGGATTCCCAGAGCATGCACCAGCACGAACCTGGGGCAGAGGGCAGGGGGAGAAGAGTCAGGGTGCAAGAGGATCTGGAGAGGACTCTATAATCCTGCGAGATTCCTAAGGCTGGGACCAGTCTGTGGTGCAAGAGACCAGCCCCTTCTGTTGAATTCTCAGAGAAGACTTTGTTATGTGTGACTAATTTAAAAGCCCAGAGTGAGTTTGTTTTAATAAGGTTTGTTTTTGCCTCTGACCATTCTTCCTTCTTAAACTTTGTTTAGGCTCGGGAAGATGACCTGACTGTGATTCAGCCTCATTCTCTCTCTTTTGTCAACTCTGAGAAGCCAAGTGGAAAGATTATATACAATGTCACTTTACCTCTGCATCCAAGTCAAGGTAAGATGTGCAGTGAATGATCTCTTAAATGATGTCTTCTAGCTGTCGATGAGTCTTAAAAGCTCTGGAGTTTTGTCCGCTTATACTTGTTGAATTTGTAGAAGTAACAATTATTGATACCCCTTGTTCCCATCCTATGAGTTTAGAACCAATTGAGAAAGAGAGAGAGATTGTGGTCAGACCTATGGAGATGAATGTGTCAACTTAGGTATCAACAGAGTTGTACTGGAGAACATAGTGTGCATATAACTTCATTCACTGGATTGAGCTCCCCCGCCTGTGCATAGGCAGAATTGGACAGACACAGGCACTGTCTGTGTGGACAGAGCCTGCCCTGGTGTGGTTAGAGGTGAGCAGACCAGAGAATGTGCTAAGGACAAGGAGCTCTGCCAGAGAGTTCAGAGGGGACTGAGCCACCCATACTCAGTCCCTTTCCCAATTGGATAAGTCTCTCCTCCTCCCATAGGGGATCATTGGAATGTGGAACTACAGTCAGAGAAGAGGTGGGCCCCTACCATGAGTCCTCAGCCTGAAGATCTCTGAACGCTGGGTTTAACTAATAGGCCTATGCCCAAAGAGAGGTGGTGGAGAGGAGATCAGCTTCTATTAAGATAATTCTGCTTCCGGCTCTCAGGCTGCCCTCCCAAGACCAGTCCCTGCCCTAAATGTAAGCCTTTCAGATGATCAAATTCCCAGGGAGAAATCAAAGTCTAAAAATTCCATTACCCTTTTGATAAAATCCAAATAAATTAAAAGTCTAAAAGTCTCCATCCACCATTTTTACTCTGCTAAGTCATAGCTAGACTCGTTCTCCCTGTGTTGCTGGGGAGAGATGAAGTACTTTCAGACTTGCGTCCTGATGGACTGTCTCTCAGCCCTTCAGAAGTTGAACTAGTCCAACACTAAGCCTCACTCATGTCCTCCTTTGGAAGAGGTAATAGGACATGAAAGATGATCACAGTTCTGTACCTGAAAAATTTAGAAATGACAGGCAAATAGACAGCTCCTAAGCATTTATCACAAGCAAAGTGATCATTGTAAATCCAGGTCTTAGAATAGTCAAGACCCATGTTACTATTGCCAGAGATCATCACAGAGACTAAGGAGTTCCTGAAAGGAAGAGGGTAGATGGATAAAAATCTCTCTGCAGCTCACCAGGAGACCAGTCTGTGCCATTCCCCAGTCACCTTGACCTTTGAACTTAAACTCAATAGAGAGAATCTCATAATTACGGTACAGTGTTTATGACTTCTGCAGAATTACCTGGGCTCAGCTACAGTAGGGGCAGTTTGTGTCTTTCTATTGTTTATAGTCAATGATTCCTTGTCAAGAGTCTATTTGGGTTTCAGATTTGCATTTTCTTGAATAACAGGAGAATAGTATACCAACAACAACCTGAGAGCAGTAGTTCCTGAAGGATAAAAGGCTCTCGCCAGTGGGAAAGGCAGCTGATGTCTCTGGTGATTCGGTTAGTCATCCAGAACTACTGCTGATGCTCATGCCCAGTCTCCTTCTCCCCAGGTATCATCGAACATAGGGACCAGCCCCACTCTCCCATCCGGTATTTCACACAGGAAGATATTAACCAGGGCAAAATCATGTACCGCCCTCCCACGGCAGCCCCCCACCTCCAGGAAATCATGGCCTTCTCCTTCGCTGGTAATGCTTTCTTTTCTGTTTTCAGGCACCTAAACTATCCTCTGTGGCTCTTCACGGCAGGCTCACCCTAACTCTTCCTGTCGTCCTCCTAGGTAGTTAGGTGATGCTGCTTTATAGCTGTTCAAAATAGCTTGAGATTTGCAGGTTAATATGTACCTTGGGCTCAGTTCATCCCTTTTCTTAATTTATTCATGCATGCAGAAATACCTTCAATAAATATTTATTTTATGCCTACTATGTGGCAATCACTGAGTGAGGCCTTGAATATCTAGTGATAAGCAAAAAGAGGCATGAATCCTGTTCTTGGCGACTTTGGGGTTCTAAGTGCTGTACAGAGACAGAATTTGGTAAATAATCCCAGTAATGAATGTTTAATTGCAGGCTGAGATAAGAGCTCTGATAAGTGGTGGAATTAGATGTAACAACACTGACCTAGACTGGAGGCTCAGTGGAGGCTACCCAGTGTGGTATGGACCTGGGATAAATAGGGAAAAGCTAACTAGGCTAAGTGTGCATATTGGGGTTGTTTTGTTATAGAACATTCCCGAAGAAAGGACACACACCCCTTGTGCAGAGTTCCTGGCGAGGGAGCGAATGTGGTATTCTTGGGATTGAACAAAAGTCCAGTGTGTCTGGAATGTGGATGGTTGAGCAGAGCGGGATGGGTCTGGGGGGAGATGGAGGCCAGACCTTAGAGGCTCTGTACACTTATAGAGATTTGGATCTTTATCCCAACAACAAGAACCCAGTGGAGGGTTTAGGATCTAGGGGGATGTCTTTTCATAAAGAACTCTTCAACTGCAGTGATATGAATGGATTTGAGGAGGAAGCCAGGGTGGATGGACATGTGGGTGAAAGGAATACAGTGAGAAGGATCCCACAGTGCTTCAGGGAAGATCCCATATAGGAGTGGAGAGTGCAGGTGACCTTTTGGGATTAAAACACGGATTTGTCAGGAGGTACCTTTTTAAAGGAAGAGAAGGCTAAGTAAAAGAATAACTGAATTTTTAAATCAAGCCAGTATGTGCCCTGCCACTACGCCAAGATAGCCTTAATCCTTACTGCCCCCCGCCCCCCTTATGTCTCCCCTTGACCCAGTAATCAGAGCTGCTCCTGAGAAAGCAGGAGGTTGAGTCCCTATCCTAAATATTTTTGTGCCTCGAAATGATTCTAAAAATCTTGAAGCTATTTCTTTATGATTGTTAAGGTATATGTATTACATAATACAACTAATATACAGTATTATTTTTATATGGTAACTTTGATAATATGGAAAAGCCTTTGATGTCTTATGATGAGTTGAACATGGATAAAATAATTTTAGAGTTCTGTTTTAAATTATGGGCAACATTTAAGTAATAATTGCCATTATTTATATAACTGTAATTGTCTAGGACATGATTAATTACTCAATTAGATTAAAAATCTCTAAGGATAGGGGTAGGCCACTTCTCTAAGGAGTATCCCCAGTATTTAGTAACTGGGTAACCAATAGCCCATGAAAATGTTCATGGTTCCCTAACCCCTACTTTGTAAGACCTACTTTACAAGAAACTCAGGATATCCTGGGATTAGAGAAAAAGAAAACATGTCAGCCATGGTTGAAGTTATTTCCATATCCATTATACTTGCCTGAGTTCCTAAAGCCTTTTTAGAGAGAGCAGAATCCTGTCCTGTATAATCTATGGGGTAAATGCCATGAGATAAATCTCTCACACTGTTACAGTGTGTAACTCATTGTCCCAGGCATCACTCAATTCTACAATGGAATTGACCCACCAGACAGCCTTGTCAGTGATATATGACATCACCCACACTCACGGATTTGTAAGGTTTTATGTACTGATAAAATGGGATCTGAATGAATGTATTATAAATCACTCTGACTGCTGTGATATAAAATTATACCACTTTGTGGTTCTTTTGGTTACTTAAAATTAGTGGTGACACTAATTTTAAATTCAACATAACATTATCTAATGGCCTGGTAGCCTTTCCTTAAACTATAATAATTTAGATGAAAACATCCTTTACTTTTCTAACCTCTGCCACATATTTTATACCTTCCCCATCTATTTCTGACCTCAAAATGTTTAGTACACTGATTTTCTCTCTTCTGTTCTTGCAGGTCTCCCAGAATCGGTGAAATTCCACTTTACAGGTGAAGATTTTAAACTCAATTTTATTAGAAAATGGAATTTTTCCTTTCCTTATTAGTCCTTTCTTTTTTTTTGCTCTCTCCATCATCACTTTTAACTATTTCCTAAGAACTGCTTAAAAGTTACATGAGACAAGTTTCTTCTAAAATAATCACATGGCTAGTTAAATAGTCATACCTTAACTTTGTATTCATAAGAAAAACAATCCACCAAGGATACCAAAGGTTAGTGTTGTTTGAGTCCCATTTCAACTTGTTCAAATACCTATTAAAAAGAGGTAATAGTGGTTAAGATGATAGACTCTGGATATAGGCTGTCTGGGGTTCAGCCTACTCTGGGAAAGTTTCTTAACCTCTCTGTGCCTAAATGCCTCATCCATCAGTGGGGAAAATAAGTCATGATTATATTTATGTAAAGTTCCCAGGACAATTATTGGCACATAATCATCTCTATGTGACCTAGTGAAAGTGGTTGTATATAGTCTTAAATAGAGCCTTTCGTTGAATACCTTGTTACCGGAGGGAGAAGTGTTATGGCCCAGAGAGTGAGTTGTGAAAGCTGTGTGTAGGAGACCTCAGCATCCCAGCTTTAGTTCACTGTCCATTAGAAGCTGAGTGCCAACAAGCAAAAACAGAGTTGGATCTGACATCTATGCTGGGCAAAACAGAGACAAGCATTCTTGTTTAGATCTAAAGTGAGGATGGTTGATTATAAATGGCATCCTTAAATAGCTGTCTAGTTAGGATTGACTATTCCATTAGAATCAACCATCCATATGTCCTGTCACTTTTTTCATGTTGGTGTGGGAGGGAGAATCACCTTCCTCAAACTCCCAGACCTGCCTTTTTTCTTTGAGGGTTAAAAATCACACTTGAATCAACAGTAAATTTTAATGTTATATCATGTTTTTAAATTTTTTATTGAGATATTTATTGACATATAACATATTAGTTTCAGGTGTACAACATAATCAGTTGATATTTGTATATATTGAGAAATGATTACCACAATAAGTCTAGTTAACAAAAGTTACCATATACGGTTGCAAAAGTTATTTTCTTGTGATGCAAACTTTTTTATTGAATTTACTGGGGGTGACATTGGTTAATAAAATCACATAGATTTTTAAGTGTACAATTCTACAATACATCATTTGTATATTGTATTGTGTGTTCATCACCCCAAGACAAGTCTCCTTCCATCACCATTTATCCCCCCTTGACCCTCTCCTACCCCCTTTCCCATTGGTAATCACCATACTGTTGTCCATCTATGAGTGTTTTGGTGTTTGTTTGTTTGCTTAATCCTCTCAACTTTTTTATCCAACTCCCTCCCCTCAGTTGTCAGTCTGTTCTCTGTATCTATAAGTCTGTCTCTATTTTGTTTGTTAGTTTATTTTGTTCATTAGATTCCACATATAAGTAAAATCATATTGTATGTACTTGGCTTTCTCTTTTAAAACATTTTTTTAAAGAAAAAAAAGTATTTCAATTATTGTACAAGCCAAAGTAATGTACAGTATTGTCTTATTTCACTGGCTTATTTCACTTAGCATAATACTCTCCAGGTCCAGCCATTCAGTTGTAAAGAGTAAGATTTCCTTCTTTTTTATGGCCAAGTAGTATTCCGTTGTGTAAATGTACCACAGCTTTTTTAATCCACTCATCTACTGATGGACACTTGGACTGCTTCCAAATCTTGGCTACTGTAATTAATACTGCAATGAATATAGGGGTGCATATATTCTTTCAAATTAGTGTTTTGGGTTTCTTTGGATATACTAGTATTCCTAGAAGTGGAATCAATGGGTCATAAGGCAGTTCCATTTTTAATTTTTTGAAATAACTCCATCCTGCTTTCCACAGTGGCTGTAGCAATTTGCATTCCTACCAACAGGGAACAAGGGTTCTCTTTTCTCTACATCCTTGCCAACACTTGTTGTTTGTTGATTTATTGATGAAAGCCATTTTGACAGGTGTAACATGGTATCTCATTGTGAATTTCTCTAATGATTAATGACATTGAGCATCTTTTCATGTGTCTATTGGCCATCTGTATGTCCTCTTTGGAGAAGTATCTATTTAGGTCTTTGCCCATTTTCTTAATTGGATTATTTGTTTTTAATGGTGTTGAATTTTATAAGTTCTTTATAAATTTTGGATGTCAACCCCTTATCCGATATATCATTAGTGAATATGTTCTCCCATTCAATGTGTTGTCTTTTCATTTAGTTGTGCAAAAACTTTTTAGTTTGATGTAGTCCCACTTGTTTTTTTGTTTGTTTGTTTCTCTTACCCAAGAAGATATATTAGAAAAAAGTATTGCTACCAAAAATGTCTTACATTTTACTGCCTATGTTTTCTTCTAGGATTTTTATGTTTTTTGAGTCTTCCATTTAAGTCTTAATCTATTTTATGTATAGTGTAAGAAGGTAGCCTAGTTTATTTTTTTGCATATATTTGTCTAATTTTCCCAATACAATTTAGTGAATAGACTATCTTTACTCCATTATATGTTTTTGCCTCCTTTGTCAAATATTAATTAGCCATAAAGGCCCTGGTTTATTTCTGGGCTCTCTATTCTGTTCCATTGAACTGTATGTATGTTTTTTATGGTCGTACCATGCTGTTTTGATTACTGTGGTTTTGTCGTATAGTTTGATATCAGATAGTGTGATTCTTCCAACTTTGTTCTTCCTTCTCAAGATTGCTGTGATATTTAGGGTCTTTTTTTTTGGTTTCTTATAAATTTTTGAAATATTTGTTCTAGTTCTATGAAATACACCATTGGTCTCTTAATAGGAGTTGTCCTGAATCTATAGATTGCTTTGGGTTGTGTGGACATTTTAATGATGTTAATTCTTCCTATCCATGAACACAGTATATGCTTCCACTTATTTGTATCTCCTTCATTTTCTTTCTTCAGTGTTTCATAATTTTATCAGTATAGGTTTTTTTACATCCTTGGTTAAATTTATTCCTGTCTAATTTCTTTGATGCAATTGTGAATGGGATTGCTTTCTTAGTTTTTGATAGTTAATTGTTGTTGTATAGAAATGCAACTGATTTATTTTGCACCCTGCTACTTTACTGAATTCATTGATCAGTTCTAGTAATTCTTTGGTGGAATCTTTAGGATTCTCATAATCTGCAAATAATGACAATTTTACTTCTTCTTTTACAGTTAGATGCCTTTTATTTCTTCTTCTTATCTGATTGCTGTGGCTAAGTCTTCCAGTACTATATTGAATAAGAGTGATGAAAGCAGATATTCCTGTCTTGTTCCTGATCTTATAGGAGATGCTTGTAGCTTTTGCCCATTGAGTATGGCTGTGGGTTTGTCATATATGGCCTTTATTATGTTGAGGCATGTTTCCTCTATTCCCATCTTGCTGAGAGTTTTTGTCATAAATGGATGCTGTATTTTTTTTAAAATGCCATTTCTGCGTCTATTGATATGATTATGTGGTTTTTATCCTTCATTTTGTTTGTGTGATGTCTCATGCTTAACTTTTAAGATCTACTCTCTTAGCAACTTTCAAATATGCAATACAGTATTATTTACTACTAGAGGCCCAATGCACTAAATCATGCATGGGTGGGGTCCAGGCAGCCTTCCCCAATAGGGACAGTTGGGGTAGGCCAGCCAGGGAGAGGGGCCACAGGCTGTTGGCTGGCCGCCCCACCCCCTGAACGAACTCCCAGTCAAACTCACAGTTGAGGGGACAATTTGCATATTAGCCTTTTATTATATAGGATAGTCACCATGTTGTGCATTACATCCTCAGGGCTTATTTATCTTATAACTGGAAGTTTGTACCTTTTGACCACCTTCACTCATTTCACCCACCTCCCATCCCTTACCTCTGGCAACCACTAATCTGTTCATTTTTTAGGGTCCACATATATAGTAAGTGAAATCATATGGTGTGTCTTCAAGGTCCATCGTGTTGTCTGTCACAAATGGCAAGATTTCATTCTTTTTTATGGCTGAATAACATTCCATCACATATATATGATGTTTTCTTTATCCACTTATCCATTAATGGACACAGGTTGTTTCCATGCCTTGCCAATTATGAATAATGCTGCAGTAAACACGGGGATGCAGATATCTTTTCAAGTTAATGTTCTGGTTTTTGTATTTTTTCTTTAGATAAATACCCAGAATTGGGATTGCTGAGTCATATCGTAATTCTATTTTTAATTTGTGAGGAACCTTCACACTGTTTTTCATGGTGGCTGCAACAATATATATTCTCACAAACAGTGCACAAAGGTTTTCTTTGTCTTACATCCTCACCAACACTTGTTAATTATTGTGCTTTTGATGATAGCCATTCTCACAGGTGTGAGGTAATATCTCATTGTGGTTTTGATTTGCATTTTCCTGATGATCAGTGATGTGAACACCTTCTCATGTACCTGTTTGTCATATGTATGTCTTCTTTGGAAAAATACAGATCAGATTCCTATTGACTGTTCCTAAGTTCAGAAGAAAGTGAAGGAGGAAACCAGTTTCTTATAACCAACCCCTCTAAAAACATAGCACACATTTAAAATAATCCATAGTAAATAAAGTTAGAAAAATAAAGTAATCAATAGTGCAGTTTTCTCAATTGCTACTACAAATAAACACATCAGTGAGCTGGTGGGGCAGGCAGTCCTCCTGGCTTTTAGAGAAGCAAGGGTGTGTTAAGTTATGGGAAGTAGAAATACGAATCAAGGATCAGGCAATTCTGCTTTCATTTCCCTCAGGTGATCAGTATTCACTTGGCTGTCAGGTAATCCAGGGAAATAAATCTTAAGGTCACTGTTTTGTTCACAAAGGTGTCTTCCACTTATTGTGTTGTGCATAACAGCCAGGTAAAAAAGGGTCTGCTTACTTCCAACCAAATTCCATTTAAGATGTTTGTATGGACATTTTCTGTCCTGTTCAAAAGCTATTTTCTAAGGAGACATGGACATGTCCTTTCTAAAAGAGATTTCTTGAAAAAAAAATCTTTCCCTGGAACATTGGAAGAATGAATTTAATTAAAAAAATAATCCCATAAATAAAAGCCTTTACCAACATCATATAAGGGTACAAGTTTTGTATTATTTTTCTTTCCACTAACATTTATCAGTATCACGTTGTTGTGAAACTTGCTTCTTAAAATGAACTTGTTGTTATGGCCCTTTACCCTTTTTGTTATCCCCTAGAAAAGGTTTTGTTAGAATAGCTCACAGTATCTTGCTTACTCACTTTCCCCATTTGTCAGCATCTCTTCAAAGTGCTATGGTAATCTAAAAAACTCTGGCTACACATTTATGGAAATAGCCTGAAGGTGACCAGCCTACAGCAGATTTATGTGTGTGTTCCTTTCTAGTTTCGGATGGAGAACACACGAGTCCGGAGATGGCCCTCACCATTCACTTACTTCACTCGGATCGGCACCCCCCAGTGTTCCAGGTCACAGCTCCACTGCTCAAGGTCAGCCCAGGAGGCAGAACTTCCATAGGTAAGAACTGGGAGCCCGAAAGAAGCATGGCTCTGAAAATGGAACCATATTTTAGCAATGGTTCCTGTTCAAACCTCTTGATGCTTACCAAAAAGTAACGACCTCCTCTTCCAGAAGGTACTTGCTCCTCATCTATATCCTTCCCTCTGCCCATTTCCATGAAAATAGAAACAGCACAGAGAGAAGGCAATAAACCCTTCAGAGGCCAATGCTCGGGGATGGAATACAACACAGAATTTATTGTCCAGCCTCCAGGAGATTTGTGGCCATCACTAAAATATAAAGTAACAGAGAGCAGAGAGAATAGGGGGAGCCTTTTCAATGACTTCCTTCATTTCCTATTTAGAAAGTAAAGAGTAACGGGAGAAATGACAGATCACAGTAACCTTGGGAAGCTGTGAAGAGTTAGTGTTGGCCCAGTTCTTTTGTATGTGATTTATCTATTACTATACTCACTCTTTAGAAGTGTATTCTTTTGCCAAGAACATCCTAAGTGCAGATTCTTATCCAGTTTCTACATGTGGGTATTGGCCTAAAATTAATTATCATCCAACTTATAAACAACTGTCACTTTCACCCTGCTTCTCACTCCAGTGAGGGCAGGAGCAACTATTGTTAAAATAACTTGGCTCTTATGTAGATTCAGAGAAAGAAGAAGGGAAGAAACAATGAAAAACAAAGTTAGTTTCTGGGAGTATTTTTTGGAAGAAAACCTACCCGAGCTAGTCAGGTAAACCTGACCTTTTTGTGGGCTTCCATACCTTCATTTGTGTGGAAATAAAAACGGTGTCTGCATTCAGAACTACCTACTTATAAGTTAACTTGTGGAAGAATCTACTTGTAATTTGGGAATTGACTGTATTATCAGTTTTCACTCCTTTGTGGTTGATTGGGGTTAAGCAGTGCTTTCTTATAACTATCAGATTACCCACAACATGGCTTGCAGCCTGGCCTGTGGCTTCAGTGTACACAGAGAATACAGTTTTTAATGTACACACCTTCTCACCAGGCTTTATTCTCCTGACTTCAGGGCTGCAGGTGGTAATAAGAGACACCGAGACAGCGCCTGAAGAACTCCTCTTTGAGCTTCGGAAACCGCCCGAGCATGGCGTGCTCCTTAAGGACACAGCTGAGTTCCCAGGGCCCATGGCCCCAGGTAGCTGCTCACTCTGTCATCGAGGGATTTCTTGCTCTGCAGTCAGTTTTATGTGTCTCAGACAATAAGTCAGCAATTTTGTGGGACAAACTATGAGGAGATAACTTAGAAAGGGGGGAAATTAGTGTTTAGTTCATTAGCTGAAATATTTGGGACTTCTCTGTGCCACCTCCCATGCCCAAAACTATGAAGCTGTTTCCTCAAATTGTAGGTGCAATTGGTTGATTTTTGAAACCTGGAGTAAATGCATTCAGAACAGCCTCATAGGAGTTGTCAGCTGCCACTCTCCTATAGGTTGTTCATGGACATGAATTTGTTTCCTTACTATGATATGTAAATCTTCACAGTATTTATAGCACTGTGATTCCGATAGTGTCAACTACATGTATCTTCATAAAAAAAGGGAACACATTTTTAAAATAGTATTTACGCAGTATAACAGTGTGGTGATGTGACGAGCTTTCCAAAATAATATTTACTGCACTTTCTCCAGCTATAAAAAATAACACGTATTGTTTAGAAAGTATAGAAAAGCACAAAGAATATAACTAAATCTAATTTTTAATAGTCATCCCTTATATATCAAAGTAGATATTACCCCCTTGAAAGTTGTCACCTTGGGATGCTCTGTGCTTATTCTGACAATCTGTACTTTCTCAAAACCTTCATATAATTCCTAGTTGTCGTGTAAAGATGCATTATTCTGAATATCCCTGCAGAGGCAGGGGGCATGTGTTTGACCTTGAAGGTAGATTGAATTTGTGAGAACAAGCAGTAGGCACTTGGGAGTCACAAAGGCAGATTTTTTACCAATTTACTGAACAACAAAAAAAAGGATATCAGAATAGATTCCTAGTATCCTAAGGGAACTACTTTAGGAGCATAATAGTCATAGCCCAGTTTTGTGAACATTATATTTCACCTATATTTGTGTAATTAACATAGAGATCCAAAGATGTTAGTAAAATGTTCTTTTTAATGTGTTACAATAAACTTATCAGTTTTATTACTTTTTTAAGCACACCACCACTAGCACCAGTAAATCACCATAACACCGTGTTGAAAGAGAAGGCTTAGAAGACTAATACAGAGCATGAATAAATTATTTAGTTTAATTACACCACACCAGTTATGAGAGTCAATTATCTATCAGGAACTAGAATTGAATATAACATCCAAGAAGACCAGTACCCTGACTGTGCTCTGTGGAATTGTTGGGACCCAGGACACTAAGTGGCATTTCTCATAAAAAAGGGATCCTTGACCAAACAGTTTTGAGAAGCTTTAATATTGTACATTACAGATTCTAAAATTCTAATAAATCCTGCAGTTTAAAAGTCAGAGAAAGGCAAGTACCATATTGATTTCACTCGTATGTGGAATTTAATGAACAAACTGAACTACCAAGCAAAATAGGGACAAACTTATGGCTAGAGGAATTTATGTGAGGGGGGTTGAGCAAAAAAGAAAAAGGAGAGATAAATTCATGGACATGGGCAACAGGGTGGTGATTGCAGGGGCGGGGGAGTGGAAGAGGATAAATAGTGATGGGAAAAAAATAATAAATGAATGGATAAATAGATAAAATCAGAAAAAAAAATTAATTTTAAATTTTGTTTAAATCTATTTTTCCTAAACTAATATGACCTTTTCCACACAGCACATATCAAAGCTATCATGAATTAGTGCTCCAGACTAAGTTTCTAACTTCGAGTACATTTTTTAATTTTTAGATATTTTTTAATTAAAAAAAATCTTATACTCTCAATTAAAACAAAGACCTCTTACAGGTTCTTTATGCATAATTTATTTTATTGTTCAAGAAATTTTCCATATCAAGATTAGGTACTAGAAGGACTGTCATAAAGAATAAAGGCTTGTCCTTTATTCTCTAGACCTGAGAGTGATGAATGGATCTTATAGAGGCAGATTTTTTAAAAAAAACACACACGAAACAAACAGTAGAGCTTCCTCCCGTGGAATGAGCCACCTTGTCTTATAGTGAGCCTTTCACCTTGAGAAGTGTTGAAGGACAGGCTAAATTCCTTTTTCAAGGGTAGTGTAAAGGGAATTCTATATTGGGTGGGTGGCTGGACTAATTAGCCTCCGTCTCCCAGTTTGTGATCCTATATGTGCTTTGAAATACTGAGATCAAAGGTGTTATATAAATGAAAAGCGTCATTCCCAGAAGTAATTGGTTCTGTAATTTGTTTTATTCTTGAAAGGTGACACTTTCACATATGAGGATATTGAGAAAAATGTGCTGCAGTATCTCCACGACGGCTCCTCCGCACGGGAGGACAGCCTGGAGATCTCGGTCACAGATGGCCTCTCGGCGATGACCGTGGACGTGAGAGTGGAGGTGTCCCTGTCAGGCGCCCCAGCGCCTCGGCTGGCTGCCGGTGCCTCTCTGAGCATGACCGTTGCTAGTGAAAGCACAGCTGTAATCACTAGATCTCACCTTGCTTACGTCGTAAGTGCTTACACTGCCTTCCTCTTCTCTGTGCCCTCTGACTGGGCTGAGTAGTGAGCAGTGCCATGACTGAGTATCTGGAGCGTCAGGTAGATGGCCATATGAAGAACTTTTTCTCAACTTTCCTATAGCTCTGCTCTTTGGAATAGTTACACTCTTTATTCCAACAGCTCTCGGTGTCTCATGCACAGACAAGTGAATGGGCAAACCTTGATGATCACACAATGTGTATGTGTAAGGACGGGTGCTTGTCAACAGGAAACATTACCAATGTCAGAAAAGCCCAAGTCCCCACATTTTAAGCTCCATCCATAATGTTTCAAATGAGAATGTTATGGAAAGAGCATGTCAGAAGAACTTCCCTGGTCAGTGACTAATAGGTAATGATATTTCATGGCCCACTTTTCTAAGAGAAAGCCCACTCTTCACCAGCTTTGGTCTCAGGTCCAGCTCTAGACAGAGCACTGGCTCACCCCTTGGCAGTGCCCCTCTGCCAGGCCTCCTGGGCAAAGTTCCGGACTCCGCCTCCAGTCCATGCCCCGAGAGAAGCAGGGTGGTTGGGGGACAAGGGTAAGCTCAGGAACTCTAGTTTGTTTTTTTCCTTATCTGACCTTAACTTGATAATAATTCTTGTTAATTAAAACTCATCTTCTTTCTTTGATTTTACCTCTAGTGTTAAGGAATGAGGATCATTCATTTTATTTTTCAATTATGTATGTTGTAAACAGATATGAACTCTCAACAGATATGAACTCTCAATATAAACATAATAATGAGAAGTTTTGACAAATGTCTTGACAATAAGAATGATTATCTGAGTGGTAGTCATTCTTAGTATTGAATTTTTCCTCTACTAGTCTTAAAATTCCAAGCAATGATCTGGCCTTTTTTCTTTTTTCAATTGATCTTTTTAGAGAGAGGAAAGGGTGGGGGAGGGGGAGAGAGAGAGAGAGAGAGAGAGAGATGAGAGAGAAACATCGATTGGTTGCCCCAGCAGGGGATCAAATCAGAAAACTGGGTATGTGGCCTGACCTAGAATCGAACCTGCCACCTTTTGGTGTATGGGACGCCTCCCCAACCAACTGAGCCACCCGGCCATGCCAACCTTTAAAAAAAAATTATGTAGTTTTAAGTAATCCTTTACTGGGCTGAAGAGTCTGGCTATAAAAGCTAGTCCTAAGTAGTTGTATGAAAGATAAAGCATTGGCCTGGGAACAATTTCTTCAATTGCTTTTGCACAGATTTCCCCCTCAGATTGTCTTTTCTGAAATGATGGGAAACTGTATTCCATCCTATTCTTCTCTTGGGTCTAGTACAGTTTCAGAACAGTTTTGATTTTGTTTTGTTTTTTAATTGACAGGTGATTTTTACCATAGGTTATGGTCTTAAATTGTATGAAACTCATGAATTCATAAAAAATGTATGAATACAGATTTAATCAATAGATCACTAAGGCTTGAAAAATGTTTGACAGACCAAAATTGCACTCCAGGAGCAGTTCCTGCCCATTAACTGCGTATTATAAGCTGCATATCAAAAATGCAAGCCCATTGGCAACTGAACGTGTATTTTCAGAAATTGATTGAATGAGAATTTACCCACTAGAGCAGAAAGACTCCTAAAGAACTGTCCTAGCCTGCCGAAAGCATAGCATATTTTAAAGACTTTGCTAAAGCATAAACTAACTTTCTCTGAGGGCTGTAGAAGAATTTTATACTTAGTATAATGGGGAAAATTTTTTCTAGATATGCATAGTTAGTAAGTTTGCAGTGAACATTCAGAAAGGTTGGAAAAGCCATATGGAATCTGATCATTAATGAAGCAGAATATAAAGGGAGAGGAGCAGGTGAGCCTATTCTTAATTAGAGTTCATTAATGGGATGTCGGGAGAGACAAAAGGCAGAAATGGGATTCTATGTGATTTGCTTATTAATGGTGGTTCTTCTACACCGTTTATATGCACTGCAAGTAAACAAGTAGGGGAGGGATGCTATGGATTTTGTAGTTAGAACAGATGGGTTTTAATCCAAGCTCACCACTTACTGGCATAGTAATCCTTAGCAAGTTACTTAACTCTCTAGAGCGTAGTTTTTTTCATCTGTAATATGGGGAGGGTGATATAAAATTAATCTTAAAAAGTTAATGGTGTTTATATGTACCAGCCAAAACTACAATAATTCAGCCCTGGCCAGTGTGTCTCAGTTGGTTGTCATCCCATGCGCAGAGAGGTTGCTGGTTCGATTTCCCGTCAGGGCACATGACAGGGTTTCGGGCTTGATCCCCAGTAGGGGGCGTGCAGGAGGCAGCCAATCTGTTTCTCTCTTATCGATGTTTCTCTCTCTCTCTCCCTCTCTCTTCCACTCTGTAAAAAACAACCTAATAAAATACATTAAAAACTACAATAATTCAAAACATGATACCATCTATAATAATATTGTATAATACATGTCTAGGGATAAATGTAACAAAAGGTGCATAATTCTAGGGATAATTAATGCTATGACTGATTACAAAGAAAATCCAAAAGAATCTCTTGACAAAGTATTATAAATAAAAGAATTTACCAAGACACAGATAGAAGATCAATAAAACAATAGCATTGCTATACATAAGCAAACAATAGCCAGTAAATGTAACTAAAAATAGCTTATAATGGCATTACAAAAATCATGTCCATTGGACAAAATCTAACAAAAACCAGGCCGTTCTTTCACAGGGAAAATTTATCACTTCACTAACAGACATTTTAAAAAGCACTAAATAAATTACGTGTTTTCCATTTTCATGAATAAGAAGATTTTGTATCAAAAAGGTTATCAGTTTTCCCACAAAATGATCTTTCTGTTCAGCTGAGATCCAATCAAAAGCCCAGTAGCCTTTTTATGGCTTTTGATAAGCTGATTCTTCAATATATAAGGAAGAACAAAGGGCCAAATTCTGAAAAAGAATGATAGGAGGGTAGGCATTTGTCCTATCTGATATCAGGCTTTATTATGAAACTGCACTATTTAAAGCAGTGTAGCACAGGAATATGCTGAAGAGTCCAGAAACAGACCCACACATGGGACAATATAAAACGGATGCAGCAAGCTAGTTCTGTGGAAACGAGAAACTGATTAAGACATGGATCTGCACAAAATGAGTACTCGTGGAAAAACAAAAGAACTTGTACTCACACCCTACACGGATATTAACTCCAGGCAAATCACGTACTTAAGTATCATAAGCAAAATTTTATAATTCTTTTTAGGATATAGGTGAATATATTTATGATATTGGGAAAGAATTTCTTAAACTAGAAACTATAAAGAAAAGATTGATAAATTTGACTATATTAAAATTAAATTTATGTTTCCTAAAACACACTATAATTATAAAAAACTGACAAGTTAAAAATTTGGAAAAGGTATTTGTAACACATATAACCAAAAATAACACAGAAAAGATAAACAATATCTGCAAGTCAAAAAGCAAAAGCAAAGCTAATCCAATAGAAAATGAACAAGAGACATTAACAGGAATTTCAGAAGATGAATCATAGGGCCAGTAAATCTCAGAAGGGATATTCACCTTCTTGTCATTAGGGAAAGCAAGTTCAGGCTACATATCATTTTATACCAACTCAATTGGCAGAAATTTAAAAATCTGACAACACCAACTGTTAGGAAATTGGTCTAAGGAAGGTTTTTGACTTTGCTCATGGAAGTATAAACTGGAATGACCATTTTGGGGTGAATATATACCTTAACCCTTTCACTCCTAGATTCCTATGCAAGATAAACTTACACATTTATACTAAAGAATATGCACAAGAATGTTCATAGCAATATTATCTATTACAAGCCAAATGCCTATCGCCAGGATAACAGATAACTTGCAGTATATTTACTCAATGGAATATTAAAGAACACTCAAAACAGATGAATTATTTCTTAAACAAATGAACTATTGCTACACAAAACAAAATTGATGGCTCTTAACACTCCACTATTAAATAAAAAGAAAAATAAATCCCACAAAAGGAGAGTCTAACTGCCTTTCATAAATATTAAAAAACCACTAAAATATTTTGTAGTAATATATCAAACTATATTGCAAAATTCTAAGAAATAAGAAACAATATTCAGGGTAATGGTAGACCCAATGACAGGATAGAGGAAAAACACATAGACAAATATTAATCATCAAAGTACTAGTCCTAGTGTTGAATCGATGGGAGATAATACATTTATAAATAATAAAAAGAAAATGACAAAATGAATTAATACAGAAGGGGTAAGAAGGTCTTCAAGTAGAAAAGTTACATGAGAACAAGCTCTATATTCTTATAAAATTTTTAAATGTATTTTTTTTATTGATTTCAGAGAGAGAGAGGAGAGAGGATAGAAATGTCAATGATGAGAGAGAATCATTGATCAGCTGCCTCCTGCACGCCACCTACTGGGTATTGAACCATGACCTCCTAGTTCATACCTTGATGCTCAATCACTGAGCCATGCCTGCAGGAGTTAGAAATTTTTGCATCTACAGTGTCGTGGATATCCCAAAATAGTAATTTCTTTAAATTATGACAGTATTTTCAGAAAAAAAAAATCTAGCTGACTTCACACTTTTTCAAACCCAGCAGCTGCTTGAGATTGGAAACATTATAATAAGGTGTGCCAGACATGAAAAAAGTATTTCTTTGCCAAATTTGCCAGTGAGGAATTTAAAGTCAGGAGCTCTGTCCTTGTACTCCATTGCCATTCTGGAAGACAATATTTAGAACTCTCAGCTGCCTTTTTAAAATTCACTTTCAGGGAGTACTCACAGTAATTAAGAGGTAGTCTTTTGGAAGTCTGCATATTGTATTTGACACCCCATGTGGAAAAATAGAGAAACTTTTAAAGCATAAATTTAGGGAAAATTTTCTGAAGTGTTGCAGTCTCAATGAATTTGAGTTTCCTCTCTTGCTAGTGTCAAAAGATGTGAGGAAATCTGGAAAGTTCTGTGATCTTGCCTTGAGGCTCTGAACAGCCAACTTAAAAAGGCCTCTGAGGCTAGAAATGAGAACTGATTAAAACCACCAGATCACTACCTACCCGTGCTCACATTTCTTCCCAGGACCTCAGCTAACTGTACAACATAGCTGTGAACATTTGCACTTGAGAGTACACCCAACTATGCAATATTGACCTTCACTGCTGCTATGGTAGAGTGTAAAGTGCCCCCGTGTTCACATCAAGTGCTCTGAAAGATGAGTGACTTCCAAGAAAACCTTTCAAGAAGATGTTGCCTATCTTCTAGATATTCCCAAAAATATCCTTGAAGAAAGAGGAAATTGTTCATTAACACATTCAATTGTTGTCCATGTAGAAACACAGAAAGCCAACTTTATTTCCTGGTTAGCAATAAAGAAGGAAAAAGGAAATGGTCTTTTCAGTCCTGATAGGACGAAACCCATAACATTCCCTAAATTCTATTTAGCTCAAAATTTAATCATGTTGAACATTAAAGTGAGTCATTGGCTGTGCTAAGTAACTTCCATTCTCTCTGTTTTGCAGAATTTTCTTTATCATTGTATTAACATTATAAGAGAATTTTACCTGTTTCTAAAAAGGAAATCATCCTTAGAAACTCTAGAAGAAGCCTACAACTGTGTTTTCAGAAAGAGGACTTTTATCTCTGACCCTGTTTTGTTCTTCTCTAGATGCTTGTAATAAAAACGAGACCTTGTGTGGCTCTTCTAGTAACAATAGAGTTTTATGCCCCATGCCTAAGGGGCATTTCCCCACTGATATCTTGAGCTACTCTTGAAAAAAGAGATTATCAAAGAGGCATTTAGGAGGAATGAGTACTGGGATTTTCCTGCAGTTTGAAATGGTGTTGCTTTGTCACAAAGAGAAAGAGACATCCAATTAGCAGAGCAGGAATCACCTTGATCTTTAACTGCTGGAGTATTTATTTCTGCAAATGTGCATTCCTGTCTTCCCTCATATTTGCCTGATTAGGATGATTCTTCCCCCGACTCTGAGATCTGGATTCAATTAAGTTCTCTGCCCATGTATGGGACTCTTTTAAGAACCTCAGGACTTGAAGTGGAAGAAATCTCAGAGGTTGCCAATTTCACGATGGGAGATATCAACAACCAGAAAATTAGGTATGTAACCACTTTGTATTACCTGACAGGATTTTTTAAAATTGTATAAAGGGCGACACCTGCAATAATGTCAACATTAAAAATTTTTAATATAAAAAAGTTAACCTTGACTTTGGATGGTGAGCACACAGTACAATATACAGATGATGTATTATAGAACTGTACACTTGAAACCCATATAATTTTATTAGCCAATGTCACCCCAATAAATTCAATACTTTTTTTTAAGATGTGGAACAAAATTTTTAAAAGTTAATAACTAAACAGTAACTCCCTTGAAAGATTATATTGCTTCTGGCCCCATTTTTTTGTTGTTGTTAATCCCCACTTTAAGATATTTTTCCATTGGTTTTTAGAGAGAGTGAAAGGGAGGGAGAGAGAGACACACACACACACATCAATGTGAGAGAGACATATCGATTAGTTGCCTCCTGCACCTGCCCCGATCAGGGCTGGGGACCAAGCCTGCAACTGAGGTATATGCCCTTGACCAGAATCAAACCCAAGACCCTTTAGTTCATGGGCCGATGCTCTATCCACTGAGCCAAACCAGCTAGGACCTGGCCCCATTTTCAAACAATGATGCACTCATTTACTTGGCTTCTCAGTGTAGCTCATTCGTTTGATTCTTCTTTTGGCCTCTGTAGGTACTCAGCCGTGTTTGAGACCGAGGGTCAGCTGGTCACGGATAGCTTCCATTTCTCTGTGTCTGATATGGACCACAACCGACTGGAAAATCAGATGTTTACCATCATGATCACTCCTGTCAAGAATCCACCTCCAGTCATTGCCTTTGCTGACCTTATCACGGTAAACAGTTCTCAGATCAATAGACATCGAGTGCTACAGAGAGCTGGAATATGTGGGGATGTAAATGAAGGATTTCTTTCTGATAAATTGGCTGCCAACTTCTTCCCGCAAGGTTTCCAGGCAATAGTATCAAGATATGCATTCTTTTCAATCATCAAAAAGTAAGAAAATAATTGTATGCAGAAAATCAAATCATTATATCGACATTGTGTAGTCAACACATATTTATGTGCCAGACATAAATCCTAGCTGTGTATAGAAGAGGGAGCAAAATTAAAAATGGGATATATCTTTAAGGAGTCTATAATCTAATGTTTGCAGCAACTAAAACATAGGGATATGGAAAATGTTCCCCCAAGTCACTCCTTAAATTAAGTTGATACTTATCACTGTTTATACCGTGTTAACAGTTCCATGGAGTGGGGAGGCTATGGGAGGCAGTTAGATAATAAATCCTAATCATGAAGTTACACAGACATGAGTTTAAGTGCCTGTCCTGTTACTTATTAGCTGAGTGATCTTGGGCCAGTTATGTAATCTTTCTTAGCCTCAACTTCCCCATCTTTTTAAAAAAATATATTTTAATGATTTTTTACAGAGAGGAAGGGAGAGGGATAGAGTTAGAAACATCGATGAGAGAGATACATCGATCAGCTGCCTCCTGCACACCCCCCACTGGGGATGCACCCACAACCAAGGTACATGCCCTTGACCGGAATCGAACCTGGGACCCTTCAGTCTGCAGGCCCACACTCTATCCACTGAGCCAAACCGGTTAGGGCTCAACTTCCCCATCTTTAAAATATGAGTAATTCTAGAAGGTTGCTTTGATGATTAATAAAATAGCATTTTTTTTAAAAAAACAGTACAGTACTGGCATGGTGTAGGAATTCCATAAAAGTTAATTCACTTTCCTCATCCTGCTCTCTGTACGTACCATCATGCCAAAAACTCAGGAGCTTTTCTGTTTTTTATTGAGCGACTCAAAATTGATCAAACTGAGCTGTTTCTAAATGATTCTGATGTTCCACCCATTTTCCCATTTCCACACCTGGGGCAGCCATTTGGACTTTCCCCATTCCCAGAGCCAGGTCATATCCAGCAGGCTAGCAAAACACACCAGACTGGGCTTGCAGTATGAGCACACAAAGCCGGGCCCCAAAGGCGAAAGTTAGTGTGAGCAACTGCTTTTACTTCCACTGATTTATTGTCCTCATTGACATTAAGATAAGCACTAGCTTTGAGATATCTTGAGCCTGGCAAATATGTACTGTAAAGGAGTAAACAGGACTTTTTTCTGCGTGGGAACACGTGTAGGACAGTCCCCCTGACGGTGTCCGGGGAGGACTGGATGATCACTCTCTAGCTGTGGGCTTTTGAATGTTGATATGGGAGGAAGGCAGCGTCCTGTGTGTAGGTGTGCAAGGTGGGTGATTGGAGTGGGCCAGAGCCGCTTTATAACCAGATCCATCATAGAAGGAAGCACGGCTTTGAAGGGAGACACTCGAGTCGTTGTGTCTGAGTGTCGCTTTGCGAGGTGCTGAGAGATTGCCTGGCCTCAGCAGCGTGCACATTCCTCATCTCGTCTGTGGAGGATCTGCCTCCTCAAAGAAGTGAAATTGGTGCCAGAAGGTCACCCCAGGCGGCACTTTGCAATTCAGTTCTTTTTACCGCAGTGCAGTTGCCTGCATCCGCCCAAGGACTCTCTCTGCAATCTTTTCTTTCTCAGGTTGACGAGGGAGGGAGAACTCCACTCTCATTTCACCATTTCTTTGCTGCTGAAGATCAGGACAACCTACAGGGCGATGCCGTCATTCAACTAAGTGCTCTGCCCAAGTACGGCTGCATTGAGAACACAGGAACAGGTACCGCGGGAGCTTTGCTGTAGAATTGAAAGAAGGGGGGTGGAGGGGTAACCACCTCTGAGTAAACCTGGACATGGGCAACTAAAGAGGAATGGAAGCATTTCAAAGAAATGGAAGGAAGGAAGTTTGCATCCACTCATCAGAAATTTACTGAGCATTTTCTGTGGGCCGGGCACTTTTTAAGCACTAGGGACATATCAATAAACAAAACAGCCAGAAACCACTACCTTCATGGTGCCTTAGATCCTGGGAGAAAAGGGGAGGAGTCAAATAAGAAACCTAACAAATGAGAAAATCGTGTAAGATGTTAGGAGGTAAATCAGTGCTATGGGAGGAGAATCGAGCAGGGTCCTAGCAGTAGGGGTAGAGGGCCTTGTGGATTACACTCAGAATTGAGTGTCAAGGAAATGAAATTTCTGCCCTTTTATTGTGAGGCAGCAGCAGTTTAGAAGAACCATAGCTTATGTCTCCACTCCTTCTAAAGATATGACATGAATTAAAATGTGTGCGTGGCTATCTGTGACCCTCCTCAGCATCCCTCCCTGCCACCATCTGGTTGGATCCACCACCCTTGGTGGTTATCACAGAGGAGAAGTGAGATGTGTACCATGCACAGGCCCCCTGAGACCGCAGTGACTGGCAGCTGAGATAGCCCCTGTCAGGTTACACTGAGATTCCTGAATGCAGCAGCACTTGGCTCTAATTGGCATGCAGCTAGCAGCTCCCACAGAGAGGCCATTGACTGAAGGTGTCTGCGGCCAGCATGGTGCCTGAGATTTGAGGCTGGTTACAGGAAACTGATTTTGCAGTGACCATGCGTTCCTATAGAAAACCTTGGGTCTTTCCCCATCTTTCAGTGTGTGCACTTCGCTTTGTTTATCACTGAATTTGATTTATCTCCACAAATGCTTATGCTTGACACAATGGATGTAAAGATGAATAGGACACAGCCTCTGCCCTGAGTGGGAGACAGATAGGACGACTGATACGTTACACAACACATAAAATGCCAGTACAGGGAAGGGAGCAAAGCACTGAGAAAGTACATAGAACAAAACAGTTACCTGTGCCTGGGGAGGCAGGAAAAAGTCTAAGGGAGTGACGTTGGAGTTGGAACTTGAAGGGTTAGTGGGAGTTGCTGTGGGAAGAGGGAAAATGGCATTTCTCGCAGAGGGAAGGGCATGGACAAAGGGTGGGAAGCAGCCAAGGATGGTTGCCTCTGGCCTTCTCTTCTCTCTAGATGGTTTCTTATTAAGCCTTCCTGCCATGGTTTTATGTTAACCTGGAATGCATGCAGAGGAGTGTTTCATTGGTCCAGAAGTCGAATTTCTGGCAAGCCTCAGCCTCTCTAAAGATGGTTCTCAAACTTTAATGTCCATGGACTCACGGGGAGGGCTTGTGAAAGCACAGCTTCCTGGGCAGCCACCAGAGGTCCTGCTGGAGGAGGCTGGTGAAGCCCGTGTCTTCGCATTTCTCACTAGCTCACAGGCGATGCCACTGATTCTGGGCCAGGGGCCACACCTGGAAAACTGCTGCTCCACGTTAGTGTGAAGCTGGAAGTAAGGAAGAGATGGTCAGGGGGCGAATTACTGTCCCAAGGCACAACATTTAGGGACTCTTTCCTTTGCTCTACGGGTTTTAAGAACCGAGTCTGTCTTATGCATATGAAACTGGCTACCTAGGTTTAGAATGCAGCTGATCAGAAGAATGTCTTTATAAAAACATTAGAAGGAGCAGCTTAAACTTCTTACCAGCAAGACTGGAAGGAACAGAATAATTATGTTGTTAAATATAAACTCTAACAGCCTGGAGTCTACATTCATTCAGTACCAGCACAACCAGGACAGGACCCACCTTGATTACCTCTAGGCACCACTGTGCTCCAGTGCAATGCAGGAATAGATGTTCATGGTGATAGCCTGCCCACACTGACAGCTAGTTAATTTGCATACCGTCTATTTGTTTTAAGAAGGAAAGGAAGCACAGAAGAACAATTTCTGTGAAAGAAAATAAAAGGTGTAGTTTTAAAAATCAGAAGGGTTGATGCTGAGAGCTTCAGTGACAGATTCACTTGTTGAGTGGCTTGTTTTTCAGTGACAGAAAATAAGTCATTATTCTGTTTGCATATATTTATAGGCATTATTTACTTTATTCATACTATGTCTGACCTAAATAATGAAGCCATATTTATGACATTACTGGTAATCAGTGAGAAGAGAAAATAAGAACTGGAAGGACATATGGACATTTCTTCTGGAAACCCTAAACTGTGCGTCCTGGGGATTAGACTCCTCTATGCTTCTGGTGACAAGAGCTATCAGATTTGAAGGGTAAATTTATGTCATTGAAGAAAAAAAAAATATTTGTCTTGAGTTCTTAATTCAAACAAATGATAAATAAAACTTTTTAATTCCTAGTCTTTCTGTTGGGAGGTCAACAAAAATGACACTGTCTGCAATTCAGAAAGTCAGTGGCCTTTTAATATATAGCCTGGCCTTTGCAAAGGGCTATGAAAGAAGGAAAGAGAAGGCCTTGCTGCTTTCAGATCTCCTGTCTCTACTTTCCTTTGTTGATATGTCTAGGGAATGTTTGAAGACACAGGGGTTTCCTTTTTTTGTTTGTTTTTTAGAAGAAAATGTGATAACAATTTGAAATCAATCAGAGAGACTCAGACAAGTAAGAGGCAAGTCATCCATCATGTAGACAGTGCTTACTCTTCCCCTGGGTCTTTTACGGTCTGTGGCAGAGGCTCTCAAACTTTTTAAACAGGGGGCCAGTTCACTGTCCCTCAGACATTCCACACATGCGCACTGTGGGCCCGGGACGAGTCGGCTGCTAAGCAGGACAGGCAGCGGCGGCAAAAACACCCGGCGGGCCGGATAAATGTTTTCGGCGGGCCGCATGTGGCCCGCGGGCCGTAGTTGAGGACCCCTGGGTGGGGTTGGGATGAAAGGAAGAGTTAGCTAGAGCCAGCACTTCCTTTGGAGCTCTGGATGGTCCTTGAGCATCTCAGTACCTGAATGACACCTGAGCTCTGGATAGTCCTTGAGCATCTCAGTAGCTGAATGGCACCTGAACTCTGGATGGTCCTTTGAGCATCACAGCAGCCCTGGTGGACCATCCCAAAGACTGAACTCTGATCCATACTGAGGTTTCCTTAAGGAACTGAGAGGTCAAATGAAAACATACTTAAGAAGTGTTTCTTACATATAAAGGTATATAGTCAACCTTTCCTTACGTAGAGAAAGAAAGTTCCTCTTGCAGGATATGCCAAATAGAGTGGTCTTAAAATGGACTAAAGCTTAAGGTAGAACATTTGCTATTGTGTCATTACTTGCCCCAGTACTTATTTTATCAAAGATTTCTAACAAAACAGCCATGGATTCTGTGCTATATAAAATAGTGACATTCTGAGTGCTTCCATGCATGTTACCCCATTTGATTCCCTGTGGAAATTGCAGGGCAGCTGTATCCATTTATAGATGAGAAATAGTGGGGAAATGGTGATCCAACCCAAGTCTTCCAGTTTCTGGTCTTGTGCTCCTTCCATACCCCAGCCTTTATCCTCACACATGCTTTCATCTTTTGCTGATAATGCTGTCATGTTTTCCAGTTCAGCCTGGGAATCAGGGATTGGTGGAGCAAGGTAAAAGTTCTCTCTTGTTGATGCAGGTGATCGTTTTGGTCCTGGAACTACTAGTGACCCAGAGGCGTCCTTCCCAATTCAAGATATTCTGGAAAACTACATTTACTACTTTCAGAGTGTTCATGAAAGCATTGAGCCCACTCATGATATCTTTAGTTTTTATGTAAGTAATGGAAATAGTCATTCGGAAATCCACAGCATCAATATCACCATCGAGGTAAGGACTTTGGAGAAGTTGGGCCTTTGACCATAATATCCCACCGTGAAATAGCTTTATATAAACTGAAAAGCAAGGGAGATTGAATTTGACCTTCAGTTTTAGAGGTTAATTTGAAAAAATAACCCTTACCTACTGAAATTTATAGAATTAAGGCTGGCATTTGGGGATGGTCTGACCTAGAAATCTAAACTTCCATTTCAGGGTAAAATCCATTCGTTCTGTGTGAAAACAGTTTGTGGGGGTCAGACAGATAAACCTGGCTAATCTCATATTTAGATGAAAACTAACATATGCCAATTTCCCCCTGAAATGGTTCTATGTGCATATTTGCTTTCTCTTAAGTTTTTAATGCATTTATTCATTAAATTATAGCATCAAAGAACTATGTTCCTTGATACTGCATTTATTTTTACTGGAGCACTACATAGGCTTACTCTACCAGGGAGAGAGAGAGAAAAAAGAAGATAAAAACTCAGAATGGAATACCCTCTACCTTGAGCAAATAAAACAGATGCTACCCTTAGTACCCTTCAGGGACAGTGATGGGGAGTGGCGCCGGCATAAGAGCAAGGAGACAACTTTAAAAACCCACACTTTCAAATGTGGTGTCTTCCTACAGACACTATGATATGCTTAGGGTTTTCTAAGACAGTTCTGATTTCAAATAGTGTGTCCTTTTATCCCCCAAATCTACTTGTACTTGCCTAACCACATGTCCATTTTTTTTTTTTGGTCTGGAAAATATGATCATTGTACATATGGAAAAGATCTGAGAAGATTTGGGTAGAATGTCCTCCTGTTTCTGTTTCTTTTAAAGGGGACATTTTGTTTGTGTGACTTGCTCTCCTTGGAAACTAGCCATTTTGATTGGGGATTAAACATAGTGACACATTAAATGCTATTTTGGTAGTGAAAGTTGGTGCACCAATATTACTTCCTCTGAATAATGTGCATTTTCCCTTCTTAAACCGGCATCTGTATGAGACCTAATATTCTGTGCTTTAATCAGAGGAAGAATGATGAGCCTCCCAGGATGACTTTGCAGCCCCTGCGCGTGCAGCTGAGCTCGGGAGTGGTGATAAGCAATTTTTCTTTGAGCTTGCAAGACCTGGACACCCCAGATAATGAGCTGATTTTTGTATTGACAAAAAAGCCTGACCACGGTAGGACACAACTGCTGTATAAAGTTCCTTAATTGAGGTGCCCTATGGGTTATTAAAATAAACACATAGATTCCAGCTGATTGTTTCTCTGCCTTGCCTGTGTATCATTCATTCTTTGCATCTAAATACAAATCAACATCACAGCTAGCTGACAGCTAACTGATATTCTTTGGACTCACAGAAGACACCAGTTGCTCTAAAAGCCTGAATCCTAGGTAATTGGTGTTTCTGAAATTCAATTTTAGCTGTTTTCTCACTTTTCTATGTAACCTCAGACAAAACAGGTTTCAGAAGCTGCATATTCTCTTCTCAGAGAAAGCACCATCGCTTGGTATTCTGAGGCCATCTTATGCAAGGAGCAGCCTTGTTATTAATTGCAAAAGGTGTGCATTTCAGGTTAAAGGCATGGTAGATGTCTTTATGAACTTTTGCACACACAAAAAGACACTTTTCCTGATTAAACCAGAGGTTTAAGTCGGGGTCTTCTACCTAATTCTTTCCTAAGCGTCATCCCCCTGTATTAGCTAACGCTGGAATTTTCATCTCCCAAGGGTCCGTCCTAACATCCGTTGGTCTCTTAAAGATGAAACTGTTGTTGTTGATGGAGGGTTACTTGAAGAGGCTGTTCGTCGCTGCGTTTTATCTTGCCTTCATTCATTTTTACTTTCTTTAATGAAGCATGTTAACTGTTTCATTGTGGTACACATGACCCACGAAAACAGCAAATTATGTCTCAACCCAAAGATGCTTGGTGTCTTTCTGAATTTAAAAGGAATTCAAAACACATCCTTATCTCCTATCCCAGATGCCCTGGGAGGAAGGCAGCGAGTGAAGAGTGCTATTTTCACTTTGCATAAGGGGAAAATAAGGTTTAGATAATGAAATGAGTTTGAATTCATGGAGTGGGATTTGATTTCTAAGCCATTAGATTACCACATCCATTTGTGTCTCCTTAAGAGATTTTAAGGAAAAGTGGGCTTTATCTTTTTTATTTGTAGAAGAGGCCACGGGGAAGCATCCTGTGCTTATTTATAAGATGCTAATTTTTTGGTCACTTATGTGTGTGTCACCAAGAGCCTCTGAGGTGATTGACATTCTTCCAGGGTCATACTGGTTGACACAATCAGGCAGTGTTTTGGTGCCATATATATTCTACCTTTGCCTCTTTGTTTTTCTTCCTTCCTCAGGTCACCTACGCCAGAGGCAGACTGCTTCTGAGCTTCTGGAGAATGGGAGGATTTTAGACCAGGGCTCCTCATTCACCTACCAGGACATCCTGGGCGGGCTGGTGGGGTACACGCCTGGTGGGCCTGGTGTGGAGGTGGATGAGTTCTGGTTCTCTCTCTCTGATGGACTCCACATGGACACTGGGAGGATGGAGATATACATTGAGCTGCCTACGGGTGATGCCCCCCACTTGGCTGTTAACCGAGGCCTACAGCTCTCAGCAGGTACCAGAGGGATGGAAGGGAGTGGTATGGTTCTTTGTCAGAGTGCAGGTCTTCCTTCCACGTTAGCTCTGTAGGAGGTTATGAGCTAAGGGTTCAGAACTCAGGGAGACTGGAGTTGGGGAGAACTGTTGCTTTAGGGACGCTAAAAGTTGTGACAAATGTGAATCTCTGAAATTCTTTGGGCCAGAAGCCTTTTCAGAATTTGAGAAAAGATTGAGAAGAGTTTATAGTATTTCTAAGGGCGAACATTGCCACTGCCCAACCAATCCCACATAGAAATAACAAAAGAAGTCCAGTAGGATTTTCAACATGCTTATTAAAAATTAAAAATAAAAAATGGCATGGTGGGGCAATTGGGAAGCTGTCATTCACTAAAAAGATTGTGCAAATAATTGAGACTAATTTGCTGTGGTAATTTTTATACATACAATTTTGTGTATACATATATAAGCAACCCCGAAGAACCTGTGACACCTGTTGGTCTTAGAGTCAGTTTGCATTAGCATGTTAATTAGGGAGTGGGCCTTTTACCCTCAGAGCAGCTACATTCCACTGGAGTTCTGTTAGTCTCTTCTTAGTTTCCCATGTATTCTGTAGTAAAAATAATATAATGGTACTTGAAAATTTGGAGAGCTGGACTGTGTTGCTTTCCGGGTTGAGTGTCAGCCCATGAACCAAGAGGTCACTGGTTCGATTCCTAGTCAGGGCACATGCCTGGGTTGTGAACTCCATCCACAGTTGGGCTGCAGGCAGGAAGCAGAAGATTGATGATGTTTCTCTCTCATCGATGTTTCTATCTCTCTATCCCTCTCCCTTCTTCCCTTTCTAAAAATAAATTTTAAAAAACAACACATTTTAAGAAATAAAATTTGGAGATCCCCAAAGGTCCCAAGTATTAGTTCTGGGATTTAACTTTACCCTATTTACAAGCAGTTTAGTTAGCCTGCTTCTGTTTCATGGGTGCTAGTGGAAGACACGATTCCTGGGTCTGAGACAGAGTGCTCTGTTACTCACAGCACAGCAGGCAGCATTGCCGTCGGAAGTTCGCTTTGGTTCTCTCTGCCCTCCATGTCTTGTGATGGTGCAGAGGGCCCAGATGGACACCTTCGCGTGCAGTGGGATGCATTTCAGTAGAGGAGCACTGAGCAATATGCAAGCCTGATCATTGTCCCAGGGGAAGGCATCACCTCATCCCTGAGAATGGCCTGGGTAACGAGTGGTCGGGCCTTGCATTCTTTGCCTTCCCCAGCAGGAAATGCAGGGGCACTCGGGGCCCATGGTGGACTATCTCTCCAACACCTGGGTGACTAGGATCTACTTTACCAGAATTTACTATTTGTAATATGAGAAATTGGCTGAACAGAAAAGCAAGGGCGAGGCCCTCAGAAGAGGTATTTGCCAGGAGCCAGTGCCTTCCCTTCATCCCCAACAGCTGTGCAGCCTCACAGGGCCCAGCGCTCGGCTCCCCCTGCTCTGTCACCTCACCATATCTTCTGTCTTGAGGAGCAATGCTTTTGACTATTTGGTCTGAGATGGCAACCAGATATGTTTGTGAGTTTATGATTTGGTGATCCTCAAGGCAGTAAATAAATTAGGTCCAAGCAGGTTTTATCATAGGGTCAACTAATAGGTTGTGGAACTAGAGCAAACATAGAGAATGAGAATGGATCAGGAGAGAAAGGGGGCTCAGACTTACACTCAACGGCTGATAGCAAATGGGGAGGTTGGGAAATTAACATTTATTGAGATGGAAACAGAAGGGCAAGCACATTCTACTTGCCTAGACCCAGAGCCGTCTCCTGAAATCATTTGATGTCCTATTCAAACGCAATGATGGGGAATGACCTGCGTCTCCTGTTCTCGCCCAGGGTCTGCAGCACGCATCACAGAACAGCACTTGAAAGTGACAGACACTGACTCAGATGAAAGTCAGGTGATGTTCATTATGAAGGAAGATCCTGGTGCTGGGCGCCTGCAGACAGTGAAGCACGGCAACCTGGAGCAAATCTCCGTCAAAGGCCCCATCCGGAGTTTCACGCAGGCTGACATCAGCCAAGGTCAGCCAGGGGTCCTCAGCCTACCCAGGCTTCCTCAGACTCCACCCACAATAGCGAGTGGGAGTTAAATGCCTGGTAGCCTATGGCAGCCAACTGTACACTCTTTGTTTTGAATAAGAACTGAGTTATAGCTCCATTTATTCTTTCTTGACTCCTCAATTTTTTTAAAACTATCATTCTTGGCTAAAATGTGTTCATCCTTTGACATAGCATTGATGAAATTTGGGGCTGTTGTGGAGGGGGAAAAATCATTTGACTTGCTGTCGTGCTAAAAAGTGTATGTGAGAGAGGGAAGGGAAAAAGAAGTGAATTGGGATGGATTTGGGTGAAAATTATGCCTGCCTTAGGTGAACAATTTATATCTCTTTTCAGCTCCCCGAAGAGCGCAAGTTAATGAACTAAGCAAAATGGAAGGGCATAAATCGAGGTGCCTAGGGGAGATTACATAGCTCATCCCTCCTCCAGGAAATGCTGATGTCATGTAAAAGCATAAATGTTAAATGCTACGCAGTTACTGCACAGTGCTTTCAGGGGTAAAAAAAAGGGGGGGGTGTTACATATTGTGGGGGAAAGTAATCCAACATCTAGTGGTGATGTGCAATTCCATTTCGAGGTGAAAATATGCCCCCAAGGAGCATAAAATAAGGGTCCTGTCCATGTACTCACACGTAAAAGTGGTAGCAGCCTAATTCTCATTGGACCTGTCTGTACTTTAATAAAGGGGGCAGAATAAGCAAAGGGATGTCATTCCTTAATTACTCCTTGCATCAGTGTCTCTTTAAAAATGAGACGAGGCCCCTCTTCCCAGAGATCTGGTTATAGTTGCATTGCTGGGTACTTAGAAGTGGAGTTGCGGGTTCACAACAGTGTGACACATTGCACTTCTCCCTTTGGATCCTTTTGACTTCTGTGTAGAGTTTATTTGTTTTGTTTATCTATTTACTTGTTGGTTGGTGATATTTCATGTTGTTCCAAAAATGATGTAAGGCTGTATTGGGAAGTGGAAGTGATGCTTTCTAGGAGAATGTGGGCTGAGCTCTGCAGCCTCTTCTCCCGTGACATGGGTATATACAGGGTCACACCAGTGACGTGGGTGTATACAGGGTCACACCAGTGACATGGGCATATACAGGGTCACACCAGTGACATGGGTATATACAGGGTCACACCAGTGACATGGGTATATACAGGGTCACACCAGTGACATGGGTATATACAGGGTCACACCAGTGACATGGGTATATACAGGGTCACACCAGTGACATGGGTATATACAGGGTCACACCAGTGACATGGGTATATACAGGGTCACACCAGTGACATGGGTATATACAGGGTCACACCAGTGACATGGGTATATACAGGGTCACACCAGTGACATGGGTATATACAGGGTCACACCAGTGACATGGGTATATACAGGGTCACACCAGTGACATGGGTATATACAGGGTCACACCAGTGACATGGGTATATACAGGGTCACACCAGTGACATGGGTATATACAGGGTCACACCAGTGACATGGGTATATACAGGGTCACACCAGTGACATGGGTATATACAGGGTCACACCAGTGACATGGGTATATACAGGGTCACACCAGTGACATGGGTATATACAGGGTCACACCAGTGACATGGGTATATACAGGGTCACACCAGTGACATGGGTATATACAGGGTCACACCAGTGACATGGGTATATACAGGGTCACACCAGTGACATGGGTATATACAGGGTCACACCAGTGACATGGGTATATACAGGGTCACACCAGTGACATGGGTATATACAGGGTCACACCAGTGACATGGGTATATACAGGGTCACACCAGTGACATGGGTATATACAGGGTCACACCAGTGACATGGGTATATACAGGGTCACACCAGTGACATGGGTATATACAGGGTCACACCAGTGACATGGGTATATACAGGGTCACACCAGTGACATGGGTATATACAGGGTCACACCAGTGACATGGGTATATACAGGGTCACACCAGTGACATGGGTATATACAGGGTCACACCAGTGACATGGGTATATACAGGGTCACACCAGTGACATGGGTATATACAGGGTCACACCAGTGACATGGGTATATACAGGGTCACACCAGTGACATGGGTATATACAGGGTCACACCAGTGACATGGGTATATACAGGGTCACACCAGTGACATGGGTATATACAGGGTCACACCAGTGACATGGGTATATACAGGGTCACACCAGTGACATGGGTATATACAGGGTCACACCAGTGACATGGGTATATACAGGGTCACACCAGTGACATGGGTATATACAGGGTCACACCAGTGACATGGGTATATACAGGGTCACACCAGTGACATGGGTATATGCAGGGTCACACCAGTGACATGGGTGTGGTCAGCACACATCTTCCACATGGGCAGTTTTGCTGATCGAGTTATACATGAGACTTCCTCAGACTCTTTCCCAAAAGCCGAGCCCCAGCTATAAGCAATGCTATTTCAGGTGATTTTAACAGGAGGAAGCCCAGAGTGGGAGAAGAAACCAGGAAATGAAAACTTTAGGTTAAAATGTCAAAAATAATGTCCAAGTCAGGAGAGTGTTAATTGATTCCTTGGTATGGATACCAATCGAATTACCACCTCACAGTTCAGAAATAAGAGCAGAAAGCATTAATAGCAAATCTTGATTTTTGTTGTTGTTCTTCTTTTTACAGGCCAAGTAGAATACAGTCACAGAAAAGGAGAATCTGGTGGGAACTTTGACTTTAAGTTTGATGTGGTTGATGGAGAAGGCAACAAATTGATCAGCCAGTCATTTCCCATCATTGTTTTGGGTAAGGGGGCATCGGGTCTCTAAAAATACATCAGTGGTTCTGAAGTTAAAGAATCTATACTGTGATTACCTTGAGGCTGAGCCTTTCCTTTACCCAACCAGTAAGGAAATCTGAGACCATGTCCCCACTGCTGTGTGAAGCTCTGGCTCCTTGGGACTCTGACATTCTATCTCTATCTCTCTCTCTCTCTCTCTCTATCTCTCTCTCTCTCTCTCTATCTCTATCTCTATCTCTTTCTCTCTCTCAGAGCTATTCTGATCTTACCCCCGGGCACCAGATCCAGAATTGAAGAAAGGAGGCTAAAAATATCCCATTTCAATCATTATTTCTAATATTTTCAGAAGACAAATCCCCACCGGTCATCACCACCAATAAAGGAATGGTCTTAGATGAAAACTCAGTGAAGAAAATCACCACCCTGCAGCTCTCTGCCACTGACCAGGAGAGCGAGCCAGCAGCACTAACCTACAGAATCACCAGACAGCCCCAGCTGGGCCACCTGGAGCATGCAGGGTCACCAGGTAAGCCTGTCAATGCTTCATCAAGCCAGAGTTCGCATTTAGTCTGTGTTGGAGTGGACTAAAGAATGTATTCACTGCCTCAAAATTCTGCAGTGACTTTCGATTGCCCATTCAATTAAATAGGAATTATTTCAGATTTGAAGACCCTCCCTAAAATGTCATTTTACCCATGACATACCCCTAGAATACATATCCCTAGAATCTATGAGTATTTATTTTCTGCATCACTAATCTTGACCATTAGATACTGCCTTGCGTTATATTTAGCAAACAGTAGGTGCTCACTGAAAGTTGAATAAAAATTTGCAATCTTATAAAGCAAACTTGTCTTTATAACTAGATTGTCAATTTCTTAGGGCAAACACTACACCCTGTTCTTCTTTTAAAGTCTTTGAGCACCTGGCCTGGTGTGGATGCATTGTGCTTAGAATTTTAATTCAGCAAAGAGCAAGTGAGCATATGTATTGAGCAAGATTCTAGTTTAGCTGCTGCTGGTAAAGAAAAAAAAAAAGGTAAATAAAATACAATTCTCCCCTTCCAGAGTTTTCTACTGGGTGAGATAAGGAACTTCTTCCCGGCAGATAACCATAACTCAGGGAAGACTATGGCAGGTGTTTAAAGAACTGCATAAACCTGTTGTCATAAGAGTTCAAAAGTGGGAGAGGCTAGCTGGGGTGATAAGGTGCCTGGCGGTGACATTTGGAAGACAGAGTTTGGGCGGACAGAAATTGTGCTATTTCCAGAGATGGGGACAGCATGTGGACACATTAAAAAAAATGACTGGGCTAGTTTAGCTAAAGCTTATGCTCTGAAAATAGATGGTGCTCATGGGTAAACTGACATTTTATGGAGGGTTTTCAAATCTGAGCTAATTCCTATTTAATTAAATAGGCAATAGGAAGTCACTGCAGAATTTTGAGGCAGGAAAGGAAGTGAAATTTATCTGGAGTCCAACAGGATGAACGAAAGAAGGGAAAAGGAGGCAGTGACCGTGGGTAGGTGATTCACATTTGACCAGGGGGGAGCTAGTGAAGCTTCACCCAGGGGACAGTAGTAGGACCAGGTAAGAGGAGAATACTGTATGAGGTAGTACCTGGTACCTACTAAGTATTCACTGAGCAACAGCCGGCGAAGGAAGGACAGAAGGAAGGAAGGGATTTCAGGGAGAGAACCGATGGAACATGCCAGTGGAAGGAAGGTGAAGGACAAGAGACACTTGCCAAATAAACAATCTAAAGGTTGAATTGTCTTTATTCTGTACGTCATACAGGCTAGAGGCAGCTGGCAGGATATTTAGATCCTCATTGCTTTTCTTTGTATTTTAGGCTACAGAGTCTTCACTCAACCAGGGAAATAGCAAAACGGGGGAATTACTTGCCCTGATGGTGCTGACCATCTAATGCAGGGAACCAGAGAGTAAGCAGTCAAGCAAGAGAAAACATCATATATCACTGGTGATGCATGCTGGGGGGAAAAACAAGGGCATCACCAGGATGCACAGGGAGCAAGGGATGAGGGAGGGCCTTCTAATAAGATGGTATTTGAACAGAGATCCAAAGAAAGCAAGGGTGCCAGCCAAGCTGGCAGATAAGGAAAGAGCACCCCAGACAGAGGCATCCAGAAAGTCAGGATCAGCGTGGCACACCAGGTTCCAGACGCAGCAAGGAGACCAGTGTGCCTGTGGCAGTGAGTGAGGGCGAGGGCGGCGGGAGATGAGTTCCCAGAGCTGGAGGCTGATGCGCAGACCATGTCGGGGTCCACAGTGATGCTAGAGGAAGGAGTGTCATCTGTGTCTGGTGGGAGGGCTTGGGGAGGGGTGGACAGACTGGCCAAAACCCTAATGCAAATTGAAGCAGGTGGCCTACCCTTTGTGGCCTAATTCCCCAGGGAGTATGCAGATCAGCACTTCTAAGACCTTGGCTGCATGAGATATTGGATAACTAATTCAGGAGCTAATTGCTTCTGCCAGAATCCTGTCAGGTTGCTGATTGTTTCTCTCCAAAGATGAAAGGGCAGACTCTTGGCTGTTGTGATGGGCAACTGCATGCTCACTGCTGCTCGGGGCTTTGAAAGGCTCTGAGCTTCCCGCAAGACACTGCCAGTGCCCAGGGCTGGTAGTCACAGCCTTGCTCTTCTCTGCCCCCAGGCTCTGCTGAGTCCTGTGTGAGGCTGCTCCAGATTCGCCTTTTTGGTGTTTACAGTATCACCGTCACTGAGCTTGAATTCTGTCTGCAAAGACCACGCCTGTATGGCTCAGGGAGCAACCCGTAGGGGAACACACTTCTCCCTCCTCTTGGGAAAGTGCCTTCTCAAAATAGGGGGATGTCGTGCTCTACCTGGGACTCTTCCTTCACCTGCCCTTTTCCTCCAGGTTTGATTTCCTAGTCCAGGTAGTCTCCCAACCCAACCAGTTTTTCTTAATTCACCTGTTTCTGGTAATTGTTAAGTAAACCAGATACTGGATGCAGTCCCCTCCCTGCTATTCTTGGGGGCTCACACCATTGCTAATAGGGCAGGACTTCCCTGCCCCTCCCTCATTACAAATCCCATTTCATCAGCATCCTCTCCTTCCCTGTCTCCCCTAAATGAGAATATTTTCATGCATTTGATTCTTTCTAAATGTCAAAGGTCTCCCTTCAGAGGAAATCTATGTTGCTGACTTACCATCCTCTCTTAAGGCAGCTGACTACAGCTTACAGAGCAGCAGCACCTGCCCTGACCAGGTGACTTAGTTGGTTGGAGCATCACCTCATACACCAGAAGTTGTGGGTTCAATTCCCGGTCAAGGCACATACCTAGATTGTGGGTCCGATCCCCAGTCAGGGCATGTACAGGAGGCAACCAATCGATGTCTCTCTGTCTTTATCTTTCTCTCTCCCTTTCTCCTCCCCCGCCCCCACCTCCTTCTCTAAAATCAGTAAACATGTCCTTGGGTGAGGATCTAAAAATTCTTTTTTTAAAAGAGTAGCAGCACCTCGCCCCATTTGTCTCAGATGGTGAGCATGTCTCTGCCAGGAGTTGGGGATGGGCTGGACCTGGTCTTTCTGAGAGGAGCAGAGCATCTTCTAGGCCAGGGTCTGTAGTGCAGGCGCTGAGCTCTCTTGGGACCCATGCCTCGTGCAGTGATCACTTGCCACTGGTGTGGCAGACATCCTCCTGATGGCTCGCTGTGAAGTGGACAGATTCTCATGCCGCCTTTCGTGGCCCGCCCATGGTGAGCGATTGCTCTCTGTAGATAGACGGGAAAGCTGTGCAGAGCCTCTTTCCTTCCCCTGAGGCGATGTCACGAGCCATCTGCCTGTGCCAACTGTGGAAGACAGACACCAGAACCAGACTCCGAGGATCTGGGAGTCTAGTCCCACAAGTGCTCTGTCAAGGTTGAGGTGGCCACAACCTCACATCAGGGAGACAAAAGATTCTCTTTTTCCTGGTAAGTCAGAGAAAGGAATTAAATTATTAGGGCAGAAGCTAGGCTGCTGGAATAAAGAGACTTCAAAATACAGTGCCTGAAGCAAGAAGTTTTCCTTTTCAGAAAAATTGAGAGGCAGGTGGCCCAGGTGGCTCAGTGATCCCCAACATGAGGTTCCCATTTCTACTCTAACAACTACTGCAGTTGTGTACTCCCCCCAGCAGCGGTAAGCGGGGAAGGCCAGGGAGCCCACCTCCGTCTCCTTTTAGGGGTATTACTAGAAGAAAGCATCACTTTTGGTCATAGCCTAGTGGCAAGAACAGTCACACCCAGCTGTGAGGTGGCTGGGAGATGCAGACCCTACCTGGGGATTCAGTTGCTTAGCTAACAGTCAGGAGTTGTATTTTTAAAGTAGGGGAGGAGTCGTGTTAGAATCCAGCAATTGCCAGCACAGCACTGGTTCCCACCTTTATGTTTCAGAAGTTGTCGGCATGCAAATGAATAGGTGCAGGTGTGTGTTAGTAGCTCTGATAGCAACAAGACAGAAGACAGTAGGAGCCAAAGGACAGCCAGTTCTACTGAGAGAGGGGTGGGGTGAGTCAGGAAAGACTTCCCAGAAGTGATCTTAAGCCAAGGTATGCTTTGGTTTTCTCTTAATGTCAGCTTTTCTCAGTATTATGACTCCCAACCAAAATTGTCTTAGTTTGGGTTCTCCGTGAAGGCAGGGTGTATGAGCCTGCTAGGGCTGCCTGCCATACTCAGTACCACAGACTATGAAGCTTAAACAGAATTTATTATCTCACAGATCTGGAGGCTGGAAATCCCAGATTACGGTGTCAGTAGCGTTGGTTCCTTCTGAAAGAAGGGTCTTTCCCTGGCCTCTAGATGCCATCTTCATGTTCACATGGTGTTCTCCCTATCTATATTAATAAAAGGGTAATATGCTAATTAGATTGGACGTCTTCTGGACAACCTTCTGGACGTTCTTCCAGACAAAGCCATGGTGGCAGGGCCAAGGCAGAGGCAGTTAGGGGTGATCAGGCCTGCAGGGGAGAGCAGTTAGGGGGATCAGGCCAGCAGGGGAGCAGTTAGGGGGATCAGGCCGGCAGGCAGGTGAGCAGTTAGGAGCCAGCCGGTTTAGGCCTGATGCCCTACTGTAGCCAGTAGGTTGGTGACTGCAAACATCTTCCATGGGACTAAACCGGCAGTTGGACGTCCCTGAGGGGTCCCGGATTAGAGATGGTGCAGGCTGGGCTGAGGGACCCTCCCCGTCATGCAAAAATGTCGTGCACCAGGCCTCTAGTCCTATATAATAAAAGCCCAGTGACTAAAACAGCAGAACAACTAGAACGACCAGAGACCAGAATGATTGGGGGTGTGGCAGGCCTGCAAACAGCCCACAAACCCTCACCCAGGCCGGCCTGCCCCCAGCAGGGACCCCCACCACAATCCAGGACCCCAACCATGCACCAGGCCTCTATCCTATATAATAAAAGGGTAATATGCACATTGACCCTAACAGCGGAACAACCAGAATGCTGCTGGACCAGTCACTATGAGGCACACTTACTACCTCTTCCTTTTCCCTGGC